CTCTTTCCCACACCCACCCAACATTTTTCCTAATCAAATGGTATGAAAATAATTATTCATAAAATCCAACAGTCATAACACCAATCACGTATAGGTCTATAGGTCATTATGTCTGAAAGATACATTCATGTTTTGTACAGCATGAAACATACAAAAACTTCTTTTAAAAACTCTTAAGGATGATACAGATCTTCATAACCCAAAGTAAAATATTTAGCAGTTTTGCTTTTTTTGGCCATACAAAAATATTTTAAAGGCCATTTATACCACAACAGGTAGGAACATTTGAATGAATGATTTCTGGTGCAGAAAGGCTTCAATGCTCTCCTCTTTCCCAAGCAGTTTTTGGTTACCACTATCCTGGCTTTGGAGAAGCCAAAAAGCCACTGAGTTGCTGATGGCCAGTTATCTAAGAATAGTTACTTTGTTCTAATTTTTTTCTCACTGCGACTAGTTAATACACTACAAATCAGCTTAAGTGCTGCGGAAGAGTTTGAAGAGAGCTATTATTCTTGCCTGTGTTTGTAATCAAAACAGTAATGATAGACAACCAATAAATATCCCACACTTAATTGTGGTATAAATGGGTCTTTTGAACTCAAACTGCTTTGGCAACTTTACACAAGAATATTTAAATGTGACTTACCAACACTATATAATGTTGCTATAAACTCCATTTCTTATTTCCCTCAGAAAAAAGGGACAAATGCTGTTTTAAATTTACAGCTTGACTATGAAGAAAATGCATTTCAATATAATGGATGAATTATTTTAATTTTTAGACATTAAGTGCTGAGTTTAAAATAACTTTCCAACTAGCCAGCATCTCAGCTAATAATCTTGTCACATGGAAGTTAAAGCTTATACTTTCCTAAAGAAGAATTTTCTTTTGTTGCAAATGGCTTAAAATAAAACTGAGATTAAAGCTACCTTATTACTCTCTTTCAATTTATCAGATCCAGAGATTCTTGTAAGATTCATTTTTCACTGAGGGATAATATTGATTTCAGCATCAAATCTAGAAATATAAGTAACAGGGCCACAGGCCACCTAATATTATTTTGTTTTCTAAAAATATTTAAAACTATCTTCCATTTGGCATTATGGTTCATGTTTATTACTAAGTCATAAGCCAGGATTTCACTTTGCCTGAATCCCTTTTTACTTAATAGTTCATAGCTGATCTCTCTCAAATGTCCATAGAACACAGTATATTAGATAATATAATTCTTCAATAGTTAAAAATTCTTTAGCGTAGAACTTTCCATTTTAATTCTATGCTCTATATAGCTTACAACAAAATTTACTGGATAAACATTTTCAGGAAACCAATACAATAAATTAAAACTTTTAAATAGAGGGCACAAAGTTATGTTGTCACAGGGCAGTCGAAGAATTGACTGTTTTTCTTACATTATATTACACTAGATACTTTGCCTCTGACTTGGTTTCTCCTATACTGGAAAAATATTAAAAAACTGGGACATTTATGTATCTCCAGAATGAGCTCAGATACTGTATCAGACAGATGTTTCTTACAAATCTCCTACCTACTTAAATAAGAAGCAACCCATACCAATTGGAACAATTTTGCACAAGCATAACAGAAGGTGACTGGGGTCTTTACAGAATTAAAATAATGTTCTGGGACAACTTCATAGTGTTCTCCTCCCTTCCCCCCCGACCCAAACAATTAAAAAAAAATAAAAGGCAGACCTGTACGAACATGGCTTGAAATCAACTATGAGGACTTAAAAAGTAATTAGTTAGCAGATAATGGAATTAAATCACATCTGATTGTAAGTTCAACTTAATTATCAGTGCTATTAAAGAGTTATATTCTAATCCAGTAAAACAGCTATTCTCAATAAAAGGATAAAACAAAGTATCCGCTTCTAATGACCTACCAGCATTTCATAGTAAACTGCTAGTAAGTTACAAGTTGGAAGGAATGAAGGAATGTGTCAGATTTTTCACGTAATTACAACACAGCAGCATACAACGCTCATTCATTAAGTTGGCAGAGGTGCTTTTGCTACCAAGAGTAGCACGCAGGTACTTGTATAAGGAAAGAGGGAATGGTATTTCCATGACCCCTTGCAAGGGGTTCCAAGCACGTTCCAAGCACCAAGGGCCGTTTTTAAAATCTGAACCCATTAAGATAAATACGACAGGACAATACCACCCCCACAGAATCATGAGTGCCTTTCACTGGATGTACGCTGTAAGTCTCAAGGCACTTAAGGGGTTAAGACATAATGCATGCACTAGTTCCCATCACATAATCTTAAGTCACACGAATCAGAATACACCAGTGTATGACACACAAGCTGTGTCAAAGAAATGCTGTTTATTTTTTTTTTAATTTTATTTTTATTGTTATTATTTTGTACAAGATGCTGGTAAGTGGGCATTATGCAGCTACTGCTGGGTTAAACACAGACGCCAGCCTTCCTCTAACAACCAGCTGGTCTCTAGTAAGGGTGTAGGACAAAGTGTGCTGCATCAGTAGGCAGTGTGTATCTATCTAGTATTGGCAATATTGCTAATGTTGTAAAAAACAAAACAGTGAGAGTCTGTACATAGTAAATAAACCTAGCACTGGAAAAAAGACCATGGCTTAGTGTATTTTTTCATTTGTTTTTCATTTTAAGAGACATGGGTGTAAAACAGAGTGAAATAATTCCAAGCCTTGTTTGTAGCAATTCAACCAGAAGCGCAGTATATGGCACTACAACGAAATATCGTAGATTACCCTGAACACAATTAGTTCTTTCAGTTTATGGTTTGTTCGGAGCAAAGCACGAAAATAAAGTCTTCAAACAGATGAAGGTTAGAAGAGTTTCAGAGACTGATTTTGTTTCAACGTAAAGTGCAACAGTGCTGAAGTTTTCAAAGTCCTTTGTCAATTCTTTGCTGTACTTCACTATTGTTTCCTGCAAGCAGTAATATGGCACAAAGAATGCTGCCAGTTCATTATAGAGGACAGGATTCCTCCAATTGATATCCTAGGTTTTTTTGCTCTTTACTTATGCAGTGATGCTTGTAAAGGTTTAATAAATCCTTCTTCATACACCTTCAAAATAGCTTCACATACAAATCTGTATTGACTCTGAAAAGGAAAGTAGATTCAGTAAATTGAAAAGAACCGTAACTGAACCAAGTCATTTGGAAGCAGAAAAGGCCTCGAAGATTTCTCCATCCCATTCTCTCAACAGGCCAAGAACTGTGCTTCAAAGTTAGTTTAGGAAACACAAAACTACAGGAACTTCGTATTAGAACATCTTGTTTCTCAACGGAAGAATGGGATGAACAGCACTTTGAAATATATACCAAAACTCACACCCACAAAACCAGCACCCTTATTACAACATCGCCTATTTAATAATTTTCTGCTCTTCATTTCATTGGTGAAGTTTCACCAACCTGAGGTTTCCATGCACTTAGATTTAGAAGCTATAGTTTCAAAGCACTTTTTTATACTTATGTTAATTCTGGCGTGTTACTGGCACCTCCCTCTCACTTTTTGATGAAAAAGAAAATTGTTTCATGTTTTAAAAAGCCAGAACTCCGGGTTCTTAATGTTATATAATGTCTAACTCTGCAATGTATTCAAGTCTAGCACCTGTATACAGAGGCCACTAATATTTTGTTTTAAACAAATAATAGTTAAAAAACCCAAACAATAATCAAATTAGAATATAATGAAAATAAAATGCAATAAAAAGCACTGTTTTGTAAAGCACTGCAACTAACACAGAATACTGCGTAACGGTGTGTATGCTGGTCAGAAAGCCAGCACGCCTGCCTTTTCAGTGTTGTGGAATATCCTTCTCTATGCAGCAGTTAGTGATGTCAGATTTTAAATGGGCACAGTAACTGATTTAGTAATAAAATCATTACTTACTGTATTGTTGCATCTATATTAATAGTTACATTTCTACATATTTGTGTAAAATACTTATTTTGCCTCCAGTGCTCCCTGAAGGAGACTCTGAACTCTCTTCATACAGCACACTCAGCAAACACCCGTGCATAGGGCCATCTTGTGGACACCGAGTGAATCTTTCAGGATATACAAGATCAGGAGGAGTATGCCAAAGGAGAAATAATACCTAACGTTTATGAAATCTTAAAAAAAGCCCAACCACTTCAAGTCTTTTATTACTCCTTCTCCCTCTCATGCAGCAAACACCTGCGTTTCACTGAAGGTTCAGAATTCTGGTTTCTTTAAGAAAAATGAGAAGACCAGAAGATATTTAGCATGTCATGAAAAAATACAGTTAAAACCCTTACCGCTGCACCTCCTACCTTTACTAATAAAACTCTCTTCCACTCTATGTATGCTAGAGAGATATGCTATTCACGCTGGGTAGTCGTCACGAACAGCAAGAGCCACCCTTATTATTTTTCATGTATCATCATTTTCCTCATCCTTCCCGTGCTAGCTGAATACTACAAATCTTCTCTTTAGTGAAGCATGAATGCTGGACAGCAGCCCTGCATGATAGATGACCTAGAAATGGAGGCCCGTATATACTTTCTGTCAGTCTGAATACTCTCTGAAGAACACAAAAGGTTTATTCAAATTTCTTTAGAGGAACAGCAGCAGGGCCATCAAAATTACTACAATGAGTAACTAACTACCTCCAGGTAACTGTGGGAGAGATTTGATACTGGATCTAGTGCCTTTTCTCCTTCAAAATACTTTCTCTTTAAACGCTATATACTATGAGTAAAACTATACAACTGACTACTGATCAAAAAAAATAAAAACCCCTGGAACTGGTAAAAGCTTAGAACAACCAAGAGTGCAAGCCTTTTTTCTTTTTTGAAAGACAACACAACCCAATCTTTTGACACTTTTTAAACATTTTCTAAAAATGTAAACACAAACTGCTCTCAGAGACACACAACACCTGACTGATACAAAGTTTCTAAACCTGTTCCAAAACTTTCACAATTCTGAAATATAAAACATTAAAAGCAACACTGCAATTATCTCAAAAAAACCCTAACATTATAGATCCAGGAAAAATTCTAGTGTCTTAAGATACATCAAATGTGAAGAAAGCACCAAGAGAATCCTGGTAGCAGGTTACTTTTTTTTAGACTAAACACATTTAAAATTACTTGCATATTTCTTGCATCAGATTCAATCACAGTTATTTTTAAAAATACTATTTCTCTGATTATTTCCCTTTAATTGAGTCACTAGAGGGCAGAGTTAAGGCTTGTTTTCATTATAGCTAAGGCAACATAAAATCACTGAATTGCATCACTGAAGGTTTTTCTTGCGTGTCTTGGATCTTTCTGGGTTTACCATTTATACCACTCCCATTCCTAACACCTGGAATTAGGCTCCTGCCTTCTCCACTGAGTAATTTTTACACTACTGAAAATTGGCCCTTTTTGACATTAATTGCCAGGTATCCCTGAAACAGCTGCTGCTTTTTTAAGTTTTCTTTGTAGAAATGTAAAGAATTGCTCCTTTCCAAGAGCCTTAGCAATTTATTCCTGCCTGGAGCCAAGGCTACAGCTACACTGGTAAAGGTGACCTCTCTGCAATACGATCACCAGCAAGTATATTAAAAATCCGTCTAATGATATGACTGGATAATAGGAAATTATTCTTCTGCAACATGGAACAGCAAGTATGATACTTACAGGAGTTTGGATCATCATGGCTCTTTGATCTCTCATGGTTCTTACAATATCTAACGGATAAACAGGCTGATTGCACTCGATGAGACACATAGCTGTCTCCATGGTGATAAGAACTCCTGTCCGTCCAATCCCAGCACTGAAAAAAACCAATAAAACACCCAAAATGGAAAATGAAACAAAGTGTCTGGAATACAGTTCATACTTAAAGACATTCCTTCTCAAGGATTCTCACGATTGATCCTTATGATTACCATACCATTAGGGCAGGGGTTAGACAGATTGTGTCTGTGTCACTAGAAGCCTCCATCCTGCCTGAACAGCTCAAAAAACAATCAGTACAGAATTGTTTAGTCCTTTGAAGAGGGACTGTCTTAACCCAGCCATTCACTTGAGCAGAATTTACAAACAGATATTTATTCAGATCATATTACAAACAATACTAATATCTAGACGATAGCAAACCACAGATACCTAGCATACAGTATACACTTTGTGTCAATTTGACCATTACTGGAATGTTGCGTTGATGTGACAAAACTATGTTTAGGTTCTTGAAGTGATCCATACCTTCATATTTCAAAATAAGGAATAGAACAATTACTAGAGACCTTTACAGGGTGACAATAATGGTATTTTTCTTAGTATTAAAAAGTAAAAGAGATCTAACTTTTGTAGACTGAAAAGAAATACGTGGTAGCAAACCCTTTCAAGACAAGGAAGGACCATAACATATACATCTCAGAATAGCAACTTTTTAAGAGGGCTTACAGGAATCATCTTTAGCTTAAAAAAGAAAACAAATCTAAAGATTTATCTGCATTGTTTTACATATACATACACTTCCCCACAAATAGCAATCCTCAAAGACTGAATTTTTAACCTTGAACTGGCTAATCAGTTTCAAATTAAAAATTTTCATATTAAAGAAAATTATGTTGCACTTTTGAAATAGAAAACCGGTGTTTCTCCATATTTGAATACAGGACCAAATACATATTTTCAAATTATCTCAACTCATACAGCTAGTATTTCAGTAAATAAATTAAAGTGTTTGCTTCTAAATTAGTTAATGTAAACATTCCAAACTTGGAAACTTGTTCTGATTTTGAAGCATAACTTCAAATTAAGTCTGGCCAAGCTACTAGTTTAAATCTTTGCCCAGAAGGTGGCATTAAAGCTACTATATATTTCAGTGATGTCATGAGAATTTTATGACAAGATGTGAATGCCCTGGTTATATAAAATTATTCAACAGCATCTTATATTTCTAGAATTTACATGCCAAATGTTTTATCAAATCCAAATAGGAACAGTATCTGTCAAAGAATGTAACGACTCACTTTACAACTTCAAAAAATTCAGAGAAGGGCAGCAACAATGACTAAAAGTGTGGTAGTTTCCATATGATAAATATTAGGTAGGCTAGGACTCTTCAGCTTGGAAAAAGGAAAATCATTGACTGATGGAGGGGGACACTGAGACAGGACATACAAATCCCAAAGGGCACAGACAGAATGGGTGGCACACCATCTCATCTAGAACAAGAATTAGAAACTGTTCAACTAAACCAGTAGGAGCCTTTTAAAAATAAAAACAAACACATGAACACAAGCTTGGAAACTAGTATTTTGAGTAGTTCAACAGAACAAAAACCTTTTCAATTGCTAATGTTTTTGTTGCTTTATAATCTCTCCTTTTTTGGTTTTGTTTTTAAACTACTATTGTACAAAAGAAAAGTCTGCTCTACTAGCTATTTGGATTCCCCACACTAAAATTGGTGGCTTAGTTCTGAAAACAAGCTTCACCATTTTGTTGCACTAATGCCCTATCCTATTATATTGAACAGATGTTAAAAATAGCGTGCACGCACCATGTGGGGAAACCCCTGGGCTCCTTCAGCTTGACTCGCTAGTGGAATTTAGTTATATTTCCCAACAGCTACCAAGTTAGGCCAGTCAATAAATTATGTTGAACTATGATATTCCCTCTCTTTTCTTCTGTGAAACATAAAACTGTTATAAATGTTGGTACTGAAATTACCAGTGTGGAGCTGAATTGATGCCTCATTGAGATGAATGAAACTGTTCATACTCTCCAAAGTTGTTGTTCCAATGTCTCTGCAGACTTGCACAGTTTATATTGTAAAAGTTGTATTTTCACTATTTGTCCACAAACATATAAACCAGAAGCGTATCAATAATGGAAGCTGAGGAACAATATAATTTCAGACAGCGGCATTCTGGTGCTGGTTTCCCTAATTAATAAGATTCACCCTGGCCAGCATTAAAGCAGAAGAGAGCGCAAAACCAATTAAATACAATTTCTGATACACAAAGTCTTAAAAAGAGAAAACATTTTTCTTTCATCTTCTTCAATAAATGTCTAGTTCACTTGTAGATTAGATCATCATTGAATTGATTTTATCCCTTAAACCTCTCAGCTTCTCTCTGAAAAAGGAATGATGCACACCTGACTCAGGAACACAGACTCTGGGGAGTATTCAGGAATTTACAGGTCAAATTTTATTCACAGAACTGCCTACCCAAGAATTGCTACAGCACATATTCACTTGAAGACATTTGGCATTATGCTTTATTATAGTTTCCTAATTCGGTATTTTAAAGGATTAAGATTTTGAAATTTACTGTAGGACTATAGAATGCTATTAAAAACTATTGCACAAGAAAAGCAAACCACTGCATTTCATGTGTACATAAAATTCTGAGTAACAGTTATTTTAATTCATGACAAAAATAAATTGTTGAGAAAAATATGTCATCTTAATGTATGTATCAAAATATTGTGTAGCCTAAGACCGCAGACTTGAGAGAAAGTGTCTTTCATTTGATAGTTGCATATAGCACTCACGTGTTCTGCTATGGATTATTTATATAGCTATTCTGGAGTTTTGTAGAATAGTCACCATGAGGAAAAGGTTCTTGTACCTTTTGCCATTTCACTGAATTATTATACAGACTGTTAGGACAAGCATTTAAACTGTAAACAAAACAAAACAAGAAACCAAACCCAGCAAAATCTGTGCACACATCAATGCATGTAGATACTCACAATTTTACTTATTGAAATGTGATTACAACTTTAAGTAACCGTTTAATTTAAATGTTGATCTCTCCTGTCATCCCCAAAGCAGATACAATTAAATGTTTATTTCAACAACAAAGCACAGAAAAGCTACCTGATAAGCAAGTTCAGTTTGATGATTTAATAAAGTTGGAAAAAATGGGTACCTGCAATGAACAACAACAGGTTCTTCTCTGCCAGCCCTCTTCTTTCGCACAAGACACACAAAATCTAGGAAATCACTGGAATCATCAGGAACCCCATGATCAGGCCATGCTATATACTGGATTTGGGTTAGTTGGCGGCTTTCCTCTTTCTAAGCAGAAACATGAAATTTATTCAAGAGTAATTCAGGTCCCATTAAAAAAAAACAAAAAACAAAAAAAACCCCAAACCTGCAAACCAAAAATAATTTAAAAAAATATATCAACGGTATATTTACAGCAACTTGTACCCATAATAAAAGTGGCTTCAGGCAACTAGCAGCACTTTATTAGTGTTAATCATTGCCCATCCTGAATTTTATAATTAATTTTTTTTCTTAAAACCAAAAAAAGGGAATCCACAAATGTTTACTTCTTCAACAGGTTAAAAAAATTACACGCCATGTAATAGCAAAGCAGTTCAAGGATACCAGTCTGAACACTAAATGTACAAGAAGGTGGTCACATTTTTAACTAAACAAATTTAACAGAAAGAGGTACTATTTTACTAGATCAAATGACAGAACTGGGGTAGGGAGGGGAGAGGCAGGACTTTCAGACAAAAACTTTCCTTCAGACTCCCTGTGAGCAGCAGCATTGTTTTGGCTTTATCTGCACCTCTTAATTTTACCCAGCATACTATACATAAGATGCAGAATGACTTTGTTTTCCACTCCCTCCTGCCACTTACTCCAATATCACAAACATGATCTGCCTCTGGTTAAGCAGAGGGGGACAGGCCGTACAAGCAGTGTAAAAGGAGCATTTCAAAGAACAGGAGTTACCGCACTTTAAATAACCTTTAGGCACAGAATCATTTACAGAGGTGCCACTGCTGATAACAAATGAGCAATTGTCTCAACAGGACAAAGAGGAGGAATTTTAAGTGCAAATGGGCTAAAAGGCAGCTCTATAAAACTGGCATCTCATCTGGTAACCCAAGCAGCAAGAAATGAACACATGAACTAGATTCCAGATACTCATTTCCAAACATGTCTGAGATTGAATTGTTAGCTGGGGAGGCTCCGAAAACTACATGTCCTAAAAACCTTGCAATGTATGTTCAGGAAGCTGCTTGTTTACACGTAGTCTCCAATCCCGACTCATCTTTCTCTCAGCAGGATCTATCGTCCACCTACTTGCACATATTCTCCAAGATGGAATTATTAAGAACTGTTGGCCTCTATAAAGACAGATTTTCAGTTGCAATAATGAAATACCTCTACTGTCTCATGTTTTGAAAACATCAAGGGAATAACAAGTTTCTCAATTTCTTTAATTACTCTTTTTTTCTTTGGCCAGGGCAAGGAAGACACCATTTTAAGACAAATAATACATAATTTGTGTGATTTAAAACCAATTAATATGGTTATGGAAACTGAATCTTTGTAATATTCTGCTAGTGAAAGGTTTGTTACCATTCTAAGAGCAGAATTTATACTAGGCAAGTACATGGCAATATGAATAGCTTTCTAAAGGCTTCTAGAAATAAACAGTTCTATTTACGTGGGTAAGCCACCAAGTTAAAAAGAAAGTCCGATTAAGTAAGTTTTACCTAGTCTGTGAGGATTCCACAGATCAATACTGAAAAATATATATTATAATTTTACCTCCAGATTAGTCAATGTCATTTCTCGAAAGACATAAGCAGGATTTCCTTCTTCTGAGTGGCAGGTAATCTGGAAATTCCCATATGATGAGCTTCCTGATGGCTCTGGCCAGTACTGATGGCATTTAACCTAAGGTGAACACATTTTTAAAGATGCCTGTGTTTAAATTCACAGAGTATTATTTTCATTCTCTCTAGTTCTTTATATCTTTGTTCATTACAGACTATTTTGATCATTTTTTAATCACTATTAATTTACTTACCAAATAAACCGTGTTACCTAATTATTGTTAATAAAATAAGGCATCTCAGACATTTCCTGGTTCTCTTTTCAAGAGGACACATGCACCAGCTCTTGAGGTTATTTTAACTGAAGATGGATGCCTTTAACTTTCATTACAATTTAAAAAAAAAAGTGTTATCTGTAAATATTCCATCTTAACACTCGAGTAACAAAGATTCTGCTTTATAAACATTTCTGACCTCCAAAATCCTAAATCTAATCTTCTCAAAGCACGTTTACATGGGAAAAGAACAAATGAAAAAGAAGGCGATACGCAACAAAAAAGTTGCTAAACTAATGCAGAAATTAGGGGGATGCAGAGGGTGGACTTCAAAGAGTCTTGATCAAGTAAGCAAACGTGAATGAAAACTTCAAACACTACAATTTTCAGATATATTGCTTCAACGCCTAGTTACAGAGAGGTCATTTCAGCTCAAGTGTACTTTTGTTTTTCCAACCCACCTGGCGATTCTTTAAGAGCAGCCAGATTTGCAGACTTCCTGCTCCACTGAGACATCCCGGCATGCAGTGGGATAGTGATGTCAGTAGCCTCATGATCAGCTTTAGAGCAGGGAGTCTGCCTATGGGTATAAGACAGATAAGTCCTTTTATTTCATTATTAAGCAGCTCTCCAAAGAACTCCACAAATATCACTATTGAAGGGGTGGGGGAACCTCAGAGAACTGCTATTTGCAAGTCTGTTCTTAGCAGATCTGCAAAGAAAACTCAAATTAAAAGGGCACTTGTACTGAAATTCCCTCTAATCATGTTTATTTGGAAGCAGGCAGTATCATGCTAACATTGAGTCACTGAAAAAATGGTACAAAAATGCTGCAACTCCCCTTCAGTTATTTTAATTATATTTAGAGGCTTGGCCTTCCAGCAAATACATGTTTTTTAAAAAGTCAGAATATATACAAGACAGCTGAACTACAGTACAAGTTGATCAGAACACACACAACCTATTAAAAATCCATCTTCAAAAGAAATCCTGAATGTGGAGAAATTCCACTAAACTATTATTCCAGACTGTCAATTTCTGTCCACACACTCAACCAGCCAGTGCTACTGTGAATGCTCCAGACTGTAAACCCAGTAACCCTGGAATTATGCTGTGTGTATGACCAGATTTCATTCTTTGGCCTGTCTCCAAAGGACAAAGCTGCGTAACAAACAGAGCTATTAAGGAGAAACTATAGCTTAAAACCAAAACCAAACAAACCACAAAACACACCTGAGACCTTTTACAGTACCAGGCACAGTTATTTTTAGTAATTTGTAACTAATTACTTTATTACTAGCACTCTATTTTTACATGTTTTTGTATGGAAATGACTTAAAGGACCAATGATTCTATATAAAAGATATAAAAGAACATTCCATGAAATACTCTAGATTTCAAGCTTATCAAGGATTGCCTTATATACAGACATCCAGGCATGGGATCTTAACACTACAAAGCTGTGTTAGGCTGCCTTAAAAAAATAATCTCTCCACATATCAAAAAAGTAATCTATAAAAACTGATGAAACTTCTTTGAGTTCCTTCACTGGAAATTTAGAGAAAAAAAATCCTACGAAGGTAAATTCTAGTTGCTTTTTACTTTAGAATAAGGAATCAAACAAAGAAGCCTAAAAATATTCTGAGAAATACGTGAAGATTTCAATGTATTTCAGAACTGAACAAAGTTTAAATATGGGCTACATTAACAGTATATCGGAAGGTTTAAAATGTAAGTCATCATTGCAACCGTACTAGGAATACACTGCCCTTATGAAGACATGTCATAGAATCACAGAAAAGTTTGGGTTGGAAGGGACCTTTAAAGGTCATCTGTAGTCTATCCCCCCTGCAATGAGCAGGGACATCTTCAACTACATCAGGCTGCTGAGAGCTCCGTCCAACCTGACCTTGAATGTTTCTAGGGATGAGGCCTCTACCACCTCTCCGGGCAACCTGTGCTAGTGTTTCACCACCACCATAATAAAAAATTTCTTCCTTATATCTAGTCTAAACCTACCTTCTTTTAGTTTAAAACTATTATCCCTTGTCATATTATATGTCATAACAGTATATTCCACTCTTCTTTTAAAAGCTAACCACCAACAGATTTTTAAAAAATATGCAGGTAGTATTTAAGGAAATCTTTTACTTACTCTGCCCCGTTCAACTTGAGTTGTTAACATTACAACCATAGATGAGCCTTGTTCCCAAGTCATCTGCCAAAAATCAGGACAAGTGTTCGGTAATGGACCTTGACAAGCAATGTACTGGTTTATTATTGTGGAAGAAGGGATTTCCATCTAAGAGAAGACAAAGTAATTATTTTAGTTCTTACAGCATATGTAAGTCAGGCATCAGACATTTAGTGTTTTAGTAACTAATATATTAAAAAAGCATCAACTGTATTAATTCTATTTGTTGTAAGTTAGTAAATATGGACACAGATAAAAATTGTTCAAAGTGTTTCACATGCAAAATTATTACAAAGTTCCAAGTACACTTCACATGAACTGAGAGTTATTTAGTTGAAATAATCAAGCTTAATGGTCAAAAAAGAAACAATAGACCATTTGGCAAATAATTCAGGTGCAACCATTTCACAGTCTGTGGGTTTCTGACACTAGGTTTTAAAATACTAATCTTGGAATTTAATTTAATCTCTGTTTTTTGTTCCTGAAAGGAAAAGTAAGTAGCTGTAATTTTGTTGTTACTGACAATGGGAAAAAAAAAACCACCCACATGTAAAAGTAAGTGCTGCCAGGTTAAACTTTATTGATAGTGAACACTACTGCTACATTAGTAGCAGAAAAGAAGAATTAACTCCTCTGGTAGAGGACTAGCTTCTCTTAGCATTTTTTCTTTGTTTCGTTTATAAAAACATCTGCCACAAAGCACAGCAAATATCTACAGTAAATTTCAAATCATCTAACTACAGGTTTATCAGCCATTCTAGACTGAACCAGATTTATGGAAATGTTATTTTTTTAAATCAACTTCTCAATTGAAAAACCACAAAACTACTTAATGTCAGAAGCCCTTTTGAAAAATACTACTCACATTTATATAATTTGCATTGATGTAATCTTCATTACTTTTTAAAATAACCCGTGTAGCATCATCTGAAAAAATTTTTGGAAAGATGTTATTTATTTACTAACCACAGTAAAATACTCTTAGAACACATATACCAACACACATACTTACAAGGCGAAATGTCTCTGTATCTATTTTTGGAAATGTTTTGAGGTAATCTGGCACAAGACATTGTCATTCCAGGCTTTTTCCTATATAATTGCTAAAAGACAAAACCAATGGTCAGATGGTAATAGATGCAAAAGACCTGTTAGTATATTATTTGCCTAGAGGTACTTTTTAGAAGATAAACTACTGAGCAATGGTAGCTTTGACACAAGTGAAAATACTTTCAAAAGAAAGCACTATGAATTTAGTTGTGGTGTGGGGTCACCGAAAATAATCAAGATGTTATCACAATTTGTTTAAAGATTAACTGAATGTTAAATGTCAAGCTTCCCTAAGAACTCTGATCCAGAGAAAAGTCAGTATCATATACTGGTAGGGGAACTGACCGATACTGACATTCCACACTGATTTGGGGCAAGCAGATTGTGTTGTGTATAGGCATCTACCTACATTCCAGTCATTTCACTCTTTTTTTTCCCCCCCTAGATGTCCTTCCATATTTCAATAACTGTAGAGCAAATCCCGGGCTACCTCATGCTTTTCCTGCACAAAATCTCCTTTGAGAGGTTCCTGCCCTCTCATGCCTTAGTCATGCACTGCCACAATCCTCGTGCTGCAAACAGTATCAGTGAAATGATCCAGGTTCAATAATAAACACTTCAAAAACTTGAACCTGATCGGGAGACTGCAAGTATATGATTAAGGAGTCCTTTTAAATCACTTTGAGAAAATATTTTATTTCTATACGTAAGTTTTACCAAAGTTCTTAAAGAAGGGTATATAAATATATTTTATAAATATTTTTTGTAATACATAATGCTCAGACTCCATTTGGTCAGGAATTCACACGATTTACGCTGCTGCATTTTACAAACCTACTGTTTCCTGCTTTAATTTACTTGATCTCATGCATTAAAGATGGAATATCATCAAGGCACAAGTTAGTGCTAAAGAAAGACTATCGCTATCAGCAGCTTAGGAGGACCCCACAGGAAGTGCACCGTTCTTTTGAAATCTGTCATAAAAAAAAAAAATCAACTATTTATAAAAGACTCTGTTACATTAACCCTTATGATTAGGGTTGTAACCCTTACAAATAAGGTTGTATTTTCTATTGGTAATTTTACCTTCCCTCATTGAGATTTGTCCATAAAATGTCAACAGCTCAGCTGTCATTCGGTTTCTACAGTAACTTAGATACGGAATGAAGGTTTGCGTACAGAACATATATTTTGGTACATTTTTCAGTCTTCATCTCTGTGAATGTATTTTATTAGCATAGGTCCCCGATAACCACAAAAAGCCGTAAGTTATCAATAAAGCTATTTATAACAAACAACACTAAAAACTAGTATTAGGATTATCCTATGTTGTAAATCTGCACATACAACACAGGATTGGATATTTTTTTTTGGTAATTTTTCTTTTGAGAGTGCGAGACAATTGTTCTGCTAAAAGATGCTGACTCTACTGAAATTTAACTGAAATCCACTCTGCTTAAAATAATTAGCATCCCAAAAGACTTGGAACTTGAACACAGCTACAGGCAACACAGTACTCACATCAAACTGAGCCAAAACAGTTCCAGTGATAAGCCCCTCTGCTAGCTGAATCATGGATTCCCTCAGAGCATTATCATCTTGATGGACACCATCAAGTGGAGATTTCTCAGGGATGTACTGGAAGTCAGGCTCGCTCTCCAGCTTCTCTTCCACAACATCATAGACAGCTATAACAAATAAAGGTATGAATGCTCTGAATGAACATGCTATTTGGCAAGTAAAGTTAACTCTAAGTAATTTATTTAAAACAGCATAAAAGATAAGTGTTTCTCCTGTAGAAAAATCCACACTTATTAACACACTGATTTTAGTCCCCATCAGCAAGGACAAGCAGCCTTTACTGATCATTATAATCCATGACAAAACTTTCTCATCAGTTTAATAGTAATTTTAAGTGAAAGCACATCACTGACTGTTAAAATTTTGATCAAAACTCATGTTATGCCCTACCTTCTCTGATGTAACTCCCTAATCTCAGATTCTCGCATCATGCCTCTGAAGTCATTATAGCTGCATTTACATTTTTACTTTTAATTCCCTTTGAACTGATGCTAGGCTTCAGTAATTAGAGCAAGATGCGCAGACCACCTGAGAAAATGGCATTAACATATGCCATTATGTTATCAATGCTGTATGCATGCCCTGCCTATGAATAAACTGAAAAATAATATGCATCTACTATACATAACAGAAACATATGCTGTTTGAAAGCCTGTTTTTAAATTATAACCCATGACCATGAAGGAGGAAACTGGCAACTCCTCACATCTACAACTCAAATTATTTTATCCAGAATACAAAGATAATCAACACACAAGGGGAAACTGTTTTAGTAAATTTGTAAACAAAGTTAACAATTTTATCTGAAAAAGAAAGTAAGCACACAAAAGCTGCAAGAGAACTTACACACAGAATGAGAGCACAAGTGGGGAGTGCAAGCAAGTGAATAAAGGAAAAATTGTTCATGAGGTGGCCAACACACTCTCCTAAAGTAATTTCAATTATTCTGATTAAACATCATTATTTTTCATCTCGCTTTTTCCACTGGAACTGTATTAAAATTGGGATGTGCAGCAGAATTAAATCCAGTGACCATCTGCTGGCAATGCTCTTACAGTATATTTCATGACTATATTGCACAAGCTGTGGCTTAGACTGCATTTTTAGCACTTTCCTCTATTGAGCCTCCTCAAGTAGAAATGTTACCAGTCGTTCTGGGTTGGTTTAAAATCATATGGAAGGATTTTGCATATAATGACCTCCAAAGTCATCTAAACACTGGGTGTTTGGTGAGGGGTTGTTTGTTTGTGTTTGGTTTTTATTTTCCTTAAGGGAATAACAGCAACCTCAGAAACTGCATTCAACATCCATATAGCTTTTGGACATTTTTTATGAATGAGAGTGAGAACAAAATTTAAATTAGCTCTGTCAGAAATATTTGATCTCTGACTTTGCTATTAATTTTCAACACTTAGTTACGCACAGCTCCTTAGAGCAAGGGATCAATCCAGGTTTGTACAATACATTTTGCTGTTGCAATTCCTTTTCAAGGAAGGGCATTCTTTTTGACAAAGATGTTAAGCATTCCACCTCAGGACACAAAATAGAGGTTAGAAAATGGAAGCAAGGTGTGGTGGGTTTGGGGTTTTTATTATTATTATTATTATTATTATTATTATGTACAAATCACTCACCATTGGGTCGAACTAGGAGCACAAGTTCCCCTGAGTGTCTCTCACAGCTAGCTTTAATAAACATAACAACTTGATCATGGGTATGTTCTGCTATATCCCTGCCGTTAATCAGTACAACCTGGTCCCCTTCATTCAGACGAGGGACACAGAGATCAGCCTGAAAGGTGGAAAAAAATAAGAAATCTGTAAAACAAGCCATTTCCAATTTCTCACCTTAAAACAGCAACTTAAAGTAACTATATTTGGGGACCTGAATCTTAACAGCCTGGTTGCTATGGTTGCTGCATGGTATTCTAATGATAAATTTAAGTGTTATACAATACATAAGATGGTGCCATTCACATGAACAAACCAATTTGCAACTGGGAGGTGACTGTCATTGTAACATGTCTTTCAGCAGTTGTTATTCCACTCCTCTGGTTGAAGTAGAAAGCTCCTCTGTTTGAATCACATTTTATATGGGCAATTAAAAAATGGGATGTTCTTATCTTTGAAGGGAAGGGAGTAATGTGGCAAAGCCTTGTCCAAATCAATTTCACAGGCTTAAATGCTTCAGGTGTGAAATATCACAACTGTAATGACAAGAGTAAGACAAGGACCGAAGACAACGCACAAATCCCAGTAATTCCAGAGAGAGGAATCAGGTAATAAAAATAATTATTATAATCATAGTCTAGACATCATTGCAGAAAAGAAAGAGCACATGCCATCACCGAATATCTTCTCCTTACAGAGTGAATGTTTAAAGCATTCAGTCAAAATTATTTATGTTATTAAATAATTCAGAGATAATAATTAACAGGGACAAGAACAATGCCTTTGGCAAACATTTTAATAGCTTCAAATAGACAAAAAAAAGAAAGCTGTACTCCTTAGTTGTTAGCAAAGAAACGGTTCACTCAACTCTAAAAGGTATAAACAGAGCTGACTCCAGTCAGCTGAATACCAGGTCAGTATTTTTGGCAATCAACTGACAAAATATTGTGCCTAGTTTGAAGACACTATTGATAGTCACTAAACACCAGTAACAACAGACAATCAGACCTGATGAATGATTCATGATGTCTGATTTTAATCTAAATCTTGGCTTTATTCAGCTACATCTGTCACTAAAATAAGAGATTTGCTATTTTAGTTATTTTTAACATACTGAAAGACTCTTTCGATATATAATTTATGTGAAATTATATGCATGCCTGTATTTAAAAAAGTAATGAAGTAAATGTATTTTTAGGATGATGCAGCTCAAGAAATAGTGCATACTGAACATCTGTAACTCTGCAATTTTCAGGAACTACATTTTGTTTCAGTAGGAAAAAAACGTTTTTTTAGGATTGAAGTATTTTTAAAAATACGTTATGTGGACCATCAACTTCTTACTGCACATAATCTGCTTTGCTATAATAACGGTACAGCACAAACTAATTTTCATAGGCAGCTATGAAATAATTTACAGTTTTGAATACATACTTCAAGGTACACAGATATTGCTACCAAGTTTATTTTTTTTGATAACTTACAGGTGTTCCTGGAGCTACCCTGGACACTATTACCGGCATCTTCTGATCATATCCACCCTTTAAAAACAAATTAAATTAGTAATAAATCACAAATATCAGAAAATAGCCTTAATAGACATGAAAGAAATAGACATACTGTTACCTTTACATTGAAGCCAAACCTTCCATTTTCATCTGGTTTCATTCTGATCATAACAAGATTGTCATGAGGGACACCACCATTGGGCTAGTAAGCAAAAATTATATTGTTAATATATGTTGTTCATAGTTAAAACTTTGAAGATATTGTGTGTAATAATTTTGCAGTTTCCTCATCAAGTAATTGCTCCTGGACACTTGAGAAAGCGTCAAGCAATAGTGCAAACGTCTTATCCTGAGTTTTGAATAGAAGGGAAAAGTTACACATTTAAAAGTCTCAGACATAACTAAGTTAAAAGTGTGTTCTGTCAAAGTAAGCACAAAGTAAGTAACAGTATTAGAAAAGACTAACTGGCTTCAAGCAGTCTTAAGAAAAGCAGTTTACTAAGTGGAAACTCATTAAATTCATTTTAATTAAGACTGCAGTAAGAATGTAATATGATGAAAAAATAAGGTAGTTGAAGGTATACTTTTGTTTCTATTAACAGCAGTATGACAACAGTAGGCAAAGACAAGTTTGGCAACTAAATCTTGGTTCCATATCCCCTGTTCCATTTCCTGGTGACACATGCTCTGCACTGATCAAGCTCTGACAGCTTTAGCTGCTTGCTTTCTGGCTTCCTTCTGATCACAACAAAACTGTTAAAGGAACTACCATAAATTGGGGAATAGCAGGTATTTTTTTAAGCTGGAAGAATCAACTTAGTGCCATTGAAGTGATTTTTAGTTTGTTCCCATCAATATTTATTTCACAGATGGAACATTAGCTAGTATTTCTATACTTTCTATGGTGAGGATGCAAAGTATTATTAAAGAAATTTGCTTCAAGGAAGTTTTCAATGTTACCAATTACGGCAAAAGCATAAGATATTGAGATATCAAGAAAACAAAAAAAACTTATTAAAGCAAACATTTCTGTATGTAAGGAAGTTCAAAATCTGCATGTTCAACAGGTAAAAGAAGTCTGTTCAACTTGGCTCATAAAAAGTTAACTCAATTCCAGGTGTTTTAAGTCCTTGGTTAAAACAAAACAACATCCCTCGAACACATTCATAGTAATGAAAAGATGAAAAATTTGGGGAAGGAGAGGAAAGTAACAGTGTAAGATATGTTAATGGGAAGAAAGGGTGCTTAGGAAGCCTGATCATATGCAAATAATTTTAGCCAATGTTCACTGGCAGAGGAGACCAGACACAGGTTCTTGGGCACAATGAATAACAACCAAGTGCACACCTTTAGCGTTTGGCAACTTTTGTGTCATTACATTCCCCAGACAAGAAGAGAATAATAGATTCCTGCTTTAACAGGCTATTTTGAGCAGCAGTTTATAATGAAAAACCTGAAGAGACACTGTATATCATCATTAACCTGTTTGACTGAAGGGACCCCTGGCCACACCTTTCAGTTTTCAAATACTTCTGGACATTTTCAGATTGAATACTTCGGGATTGCAGATGGAGTAAAAAAATTCCTATACCTGTCCCTACTACCTTTCTAAATAGACTCTCCATACAGACAACAGATGAAGGAAATTCAATAGCTAAATGAACTCAAAATGGTGAAGCAGTTTCCTTGAAATACTTGAGATAGAGCAGCAGAAGAAACTTAAGTGGTTGCAGGAACCTGAAGTGTGTTCTGGTCAGAAAAGCATTTTTTTGGGGAGGGGGGAAGAAAAAAAAAAAAAGAAAAAAAAAAAAAGTCAAGCAAAAAACTCCCCAAAACAAAAAACACAAAACACATTCCAAATCCTAAATTTACAATTTCACAAAATTTCAGAGTCATGCTGCGTTCCTTCTTGTCTAATACCCAAAATAAAAAGCCATCAGCAGACCGAATTAGATCTTCAATTACAACAGTGTACTTCCTTAAGTGAGGCTGCATAAATGTGGGCCATTGGACCACAGCAAACAATCACATTGACAATGCACAGAGAAAGAAGAATCTCATTCTCACACAGCTGTGTTGGTTTTGCGGAACTAAAAGGAGTTAAAAAAAACACAACTGGAAGTTATTTTTGTCAGTTTCATAAAGATAACTGAATACAGAGCAGAAAAACTTCATGAGTAAAAAAGTGTTATCTTTCAAAACAGAACAGTACTTTAATATGACTCAGGTAAGCACTGACAGAAGACAAAGCTGTTAAAAATTCTATTTCATTATTTAATTAAAGCAAAATTTTTCACAACATTCCCAAAATGCTCATAAACTTACAGGTTTCACTTTTGCATGTTTATTAAAACCCCAGCTATGAAATCAAATATGGGGTTTATGGGAATTTTAACTTGTAACAAGGCCTGAGAGAACACCCTAGGCTTAGAGTTCAGAATGCAAATAAAAATAAGCCAAAGGCATTTCTAAAATATCAATTTGGGGAGTTGACTCATAATTTTGAATGTCTGAGGCTGGCAAAACTGTTTATATAGTATTTGCTACATCTGGATGCTAAACAGTTTTCCCATCCTGCAAAACATTTCTTGTCCCACATCAGTATAAAACCAAGAACCATTTGAAAACCGGAAGGAGAAAAAAAAAAAAAAAAATCATAAAATGGTCATTGAGATCTCACCGCAGTCAGACAATAATCAACTGAGTAGCTTACTCATATAGCATGGAAAAAGAACTTTTGCTCAGATTTTTACATTCGTTGTCACAGGTCTCTTGGTAGAGCCTCTTTCGTGGAAATTCTGATGAGAAATGCAACCACAGGTTCAAGTACTCTAGAAGCTAGTAGACACTTTTAGTTTCAGCTTTTTGATAAAAGCTAGATTAAACACCAGTGGTAGTGTCTGCAATGTCTTCTTTAAAATTGATGGGAAATGACTTCTCAAAGAAGGGTTAGTTAGAAATTTCTGCATGTGCTGAAAAGCTAATGTTCAAAATGTTTGCATATCCATCCCAATGGAGTCATTTGATGACAACTGACAAAGGACTACTCCAGCAGGTGGAAAGAACAGTGGGAGCTAGCAAAGAGACAGTATGTATCATGGAAGTGCTGCAAGGTAATGCACAAACACAACTACTCTCTGAAATGCATCAGAAGCAACCTCATGAAAAGTAGGACTATCATTCTGATAAAAAGCAGAATGGTCAAACCGGATCCAAAAACTTACTGTCGATTTTTCAGGTGATGCAGGAACATCAAATGTTTCATTAATATGGTTATCCAGTTCTTGCTGGGAGTGTGAATGATGGATTTGGTTCCAACTGTTCTTTTTAAATTGTTTGGGTGGTAACGCAGGAGGCTGCCCATCTATAGGAGTCTCTTGAGATCTAAATACCAAAATAGAAGTATGAAGTGGAACAATCATGAGCTATTGACAGTTCTTCCAGGATTCCAAATAAACTGAAAATGCTAAAAGAAACTCAAGAGTTTGAGAGCTGAATATCTGTATGTATTTTTAGAATCTCAAAAATGTACTGTGGTGGAATACATTAGAAGTGTATGTCTGGACACGTTACTGCTTTTTTCTTGACAAGCAACTGTAGACAGAACCCACACGTTCATCTTTTACACATGACTTTTTAAAATGGTTTTAGCACTCTTAACCCACTTTATATTAGAATATTATAAAATTCCCTGTATTTATAGTCTGGACTCATGCTAAAAAGAGTTATTTCTAATATAGACATGTCACTTAATAAGTTTTCCTCAGTAAGAAAATCAATTAGTTTGCATCTTAATTTAATGCCTGCAATTTAAATCTTAAAAACAGACAGAAGCAGCATAATAAAGTGCTCCCACACTAGTTTTTGGCTTTTGATCTAAAAATAGGAGGAGTGCAAGCTGAAGATAACTCAACTCCCCCCCTGCATTTATTTGAAAAGCCCATTGGAGATGATAGTGTTAAATTTCAATTTTTCAATTTAAAAGTGTATGTATACATTTCAAGAGAACTTTGTTTCCCCCCGCCTTGAATGTATTCCCCTTTGAAACATGCACAGCTTTGAAGCATTTGTAAAAATGGTATTCATTGCATGCATTTTTCAGTTGAGTTATAACACCATTACTGAAGATGAAATAGCAGAAAGTACTATTTCTGTTTTAGATCTGCAAGCAGTCTACTGAAGTCTGTGCTTATGTATAATATGGATCATAATTTCCTTTATTAGCCTTTCCAGAAAAAAAGCTTAACTGTATAATTTGTATTACATAAACATAGGATTCATCTTTCATTACATGGCTTTACATTTAAGAATTAAGAACAACATTCTGAGAGGCCCAAAAGGGCAGTTAGCACATAGCTCCCATTAGCTTAATTTGAATGGAAGTTTCTAAATACCAGCGAGGATACAAGCCTTCCTCCCCATGAACCATATTGAAAGGTATTGTTAAGTAATTTAACAACTTATGACAACAGCCCACTGATACTAGTGGCAAATCCAAAACCCACCAAGAATGAAGTTACAGGTTACAGCTAAATCTAAAGAGAACGCTACCACCAAAAATGGGTGCCTCTGTTCTTTCTTTCACCCACACCCATTGCCCCTTCTTTGAAGCACTCCAGCACTCCTCCCTTGGCTAAGGCAGCTTACCAAGCAAGCAAAAATACACTTGACTTTTCGGACAAGCCTGGGTAGCTCTCTGCTGGTTGAACAAGAGGAACTGGTTCATCACAGGGTCGACCACCAGGCGGAGAGGGAAGTACACTCCCAGAAGCCAGAAATAGGACACTGCCCCTTTCGTTATCAGCAAGCTGTAGCGGTAACTCATAGCATAACACCGCTCTAAAAAGCACGGGTAACCCTGTGAGTTGTCCTACTGCATTTAACTAGTCTAGCCACAGTGAACTGTTAGCAGGGCAAGACTCTCATTATGACACAGCATAACATTTCAAGTTGTTGCAAGTTAGAAAACCTAAGGCATTCATCAAATTCCATACTGTATAATTTGTTTCTATGCAACTAAGGAAAGGCAGATACCAGATACATGTTTTCAAATAAAAACAAAAAATCACAATTGTCTATGGTGATTTCAAATAAAGGGCAAACCTCTTTCAAAAAGCATGAAAACTGAATGGGAAATGGAACACTTTGCTTTCAAAACCCACATTTTCCATTTCAGTTTTAAAAAAAGTAGTCAGTTTTCTTAAAAAACAACATATTCATAAAATTTGTTTTACAATGCATGAAAACAGCAAATTTGAAAAGATCCTAACTATTTTTTCTGTATGTTTTTGCTTTATTTCAATTTTCGGAATTTTTTTTCTTGCAGTGTTAAGAAAAAAGTACTAATTATTCAGTATCTGATATATGAAGAATCTCATGTTCAAAACACACTAGCGAATAAAAATATTTCTTGACACTTTTAAATGCAAGTGAATAAAAAAGAGCATACCATCCTTATATTCTATTTTTCAGGATAAACAGCTTTTCCAAATTCATTTTTGTGGAGAAAGGAAAATATGATGATTGCCAACACTTAGAAAAATGAATTTTCAAGGCAGCTATAAATTATGTAGACATTGACTTACAAAGGTCACCCAGAGCTTTTTAACTGCCTATGTATTTATTCATCTAAGTCTGGCCAGCACAGATTATTCAGCCTTTTAAATGAAGGGCAACATAGTTATGTATTTGCCTGCAAACAATTACTCCTGAGAGTTTTAAACGGAATAAAAGAGGAACAGAAAACATGAGTAGAGACACAAAAGAAGTTGTTCCGATAAAAGTAAGAGATGGGATCTTATGTTTGACTAGGTGTCGGTACATATATGTCAACAAACACAAATAAATTCCTACCGAACATATAAACGTATAGAAAAGATTTGAAAAGTTACTTAAATGAGCATTTTAGAAGCAGCGATGCAAGTACTGTGATATATTAGCATAATGAATTGTGAGAACTAACAATCAAGCCTTGGGCAAAAACTTCATTGCTTTATATTTGCCCAGCCAGCTTTGAATTTCCTTATGAATGCTTAGACAATGGCAGTGAAAGCAGCCTATTTTGCAGGCAAAGCAGCTCTCTGTTACTGCATTCAGCAATTTACATAATAATAAAATAACACACAAACCCTAGCACTGACAAGCTTTGGGTATTTTTTTACAGCTATCCGGTCTGACCTTTTAATATATTAAACAAAAGTTTCATACACACCCCACAAATTTATTAAACTAAACACATATCATGTGCTTTCGGAATTTAAGGTTATAGTTACCTCAGGGAACAACAAGCAGAAATCTCTCAATTTAGTTTTGAATAGCACATGCAGATGAAGAAAAAAAATGTGGAATTAAAGTTTGCATTAGCTAAGCTATAATGTCCTTCTAAACGGCACTGAAACTTTAATTTCTTTTGCGACGTTAACTCCAAACTCAGAGATGACTAAACCTACTGCCTTGTCAGGTTAGCCTGCTCTGACTTTCTTGCATATGTAAATTTGATCAATAAATAAAAATTCCCAACAAATTTACAGATGGACTACTCGAATCTTTTCACTCAGAAGGGTCAAATTGTTTAAGAAATAGCTTTTTGGACTGTAAACCAATATAATTTAAAATTATATAGCTAATGTGAACTCCATGGCTACTACTTCCTTTTGTAAAATCTCAAATCTTGAATCAATAACATCACCTGAAACTTTCAGAAGACCTTAATGGGGTTCATGTCTTTTTGACAGTTGACATCCTCATTCTTAAAAATACTTTATGCTAGATATCTATACTAGGAGATGAAATTCCACTTTTAAGCTTCCAACAAGGGAGAAACCAAAAACAACCCCCAAAACTTAGTGATGGAAGAGCAACAGTTTTTCTGCTTGGGCATAAAAACGGCGAAATCATGAAAAAGAACAGCCTTAGTAGCATAACTGATTTACAAAACCACTTCCTCGCTTTTAAAAACTCATTTCTATGGTGACTTACACAAGAAATCAGGTATTAAATAAACAAAACCCAAGGACACTCAGGAACATCTTTCACAACTTAACTTAAAGGCATATGAAAGAGAATATTCAAGAACTGTGCTTACTTCACTGTATCACTCTACCATTCAGGAAGTGTTTCTCATAACTGACTTCAGTTGGAAAACTTGTAACAAAAGTAACGTGACCCTGTGTGGCCTTTGTACAGCAAAACGTGAGAATGAGAAGAGATTCACAACTTCTCCAGTTTTGAGACTCCCTTGCCACATGAACAGGTTAAAAAAGCCCACCAAAAAGGGGGACTTAATATTATTAGGCCAAATTATTGGTTTATAGTTCTGAAAGCTAAATAACTAGCTGATGGTCAAATTATAACTATTGCACCCTATCATAAAAAGCGCCTTGTGTTACTTTACAAAACTTTAAAAATTTTGTACTTTATTTCCCTCCCAAAGTTACACACAGTTGTTAAAACTGAAGGCACAGTCCAAGCAAGGTTTCAAAATTGTGTTCAAATACCTTCCCAGAGTAACTTTTCCTGAGACACACAATTTGTTTATAAATATGTAATTATGTATGTGCTATTTCATAGTTCTCAAATGGTTTTGAAACCATTTGCACAATTTCCTTGCTAACAGAGATTATACAAAATCACGAGGGCAAGTTTAGCATTACATGTACAGCTACATATATGAAGGTACAGTGGCAGTGTTAAAGTGTACATTGTGCACCTTTTTTCCTCAATCTGTACTCTGGCCATAAGTTACCGAGTATTTCAAATCTTTGAATAACTCAACCTTTTTTTTGTTTGTCATCCTTCTGGACTTAATACATAATAATAGTTTTTATTTGCCTGCCATAGCATAGTAAACTTAAAGCATCAAGAATATTCAGCATCACAGAAAAAAAGCCTCATAGTGCTATCTGAAAAAATAAAGATATACTCTATAACAATATGCAAAAAATACTAGGAACCTCAGAATGCTGGGGTGCTAAAAAGGTATTTTGGCTAAGTAATTTGTAAAGCTCACTCATACTTCTGTGCCTTGACAGAAAGCAAAATTTCCAAACTCACAGGAGTTAAAAACTTTTATCATAAAACAACATACTTTAGTTCTATCAAAAAATAACTCTTGCTTCCACATCCAGACACTGATGGTCACATTACAGCAAACCCACATTTTGGGTGGGGAAGTTATAATCCTGCACCAGGAACATGTCAGATATAGATCTTTACTTCGGCATCATTTAATTTTCAATAAGACCTATACTAATACTCCCTAAACAACAGCTACCTTTTTATTAGAGTTTCTGACTCTCCCCAACCCAAACATTTAACACTAAATTCTTAACGGCAAAGATTTCTGACTCATCTTCAGAAGCCCTCCACACTACCAGACAGTAACAACCAACAGAACTTACGGTGATGATTCCAGTATGATGCTATTAGCCTGGGTGGAAGATGGAGATCTGTGATTTACAAATACTTCACTTGGGGAAGTGTGAACTACATGGTCCACTAAATGTCCAACTGATGAGGGTCGTAACCGGGCTCCTTCTTGAGTGAAGGCAGAGTTGCGGCTAAGAGGGAAAGCATAGCAGTGCAATGTGAAAAGAATATTATTATTAATCTACATTTCTTACACCACTACAAAGGAATGCTAAAATAATTATTTCCTCTCAGTGCAAGCATATGTTCATATACATATTCTTATGAAATAATTCAAGGTTTCAAAAATCACTGAAACAATTATGTTGTCAGATCAGCATGCTATATTTCAGTTTTCTTTTTAGAAGTGTTCAAAAATATTTTCATAAACACTAAACAGCTAATATTTTTCTTTTTCTTTTTTTTTTTTAATTAAAAAGAAGCCTGAAAGCATTATGGTCCAATGAACAGGCTACTGGACTAAAAGTCCAGTCAATGAAAAGAAAAAACTTGTCACTGTTCATGGCAGAACTTAATCTGAATTCATTAAGATGAACATTTTATGCCCTGCATCTTCTCCTAGAAGAATCGTAAACTTTGCACTGAGAGTCTTAATCATTTCTGTGACCCAAAATTTTCCCATTTGAAAACTAGCGTAGTGACATAGGCATCTTTCTTAAAATGCTTTGAAACATGCACAGTTATGTTATGCAATAAGCATCATTATTACACATTTTTTACAATAATTTTTAAATGCTACAGATACTTACAACAGTCTTTTGAATATATGCTGCAATGCCAAAGTATCTTAAAACCTTCTGGTTTATGCAACGCAAAATTGGATAATACCAATTTGTAAACCAGTTTCAGCACACTGAGAAAACTGGTTATTTTCCAAAACATATCAGAAATTATTTTTCACTAACTATAAGCATAAAACAGAAAGCTCTATCACGTGAAAAGAGCAACCTTTGAAAGGAAATGCAGAAAAATTGAGCAGAATAAACCTGCAAGCATTTCTGATTAAATAATTTTCCCCAATGTTTTAAAAAGTGGTATTAACCAGAATCAATTATTTCTAAAATACCACACAGATTTTATTACCTGTTTTTTAATTAGCCAAAAGAATAATTTAGTTTTAACTGTGCTTGAGGAAACTCGCGCTCTCAAATTTAGGGTAATGTGCTACATCTTTACACTTTTTATAGGTTGAGCAAGAAGCACCTAAAATTCACCCCCAAATAGTCTCTCTTATCTGGAGCTAAATATTCCTGAGAACCACTCCGCACATAATTTGTGACGTTATTTGTCTCTGTAAGGCATTAATCCTTTTATTACACAAGTAGTCACTCACATTAGAGGTAGACAGTCACTTCTAGGGAGACAAGATTTGATGCTACTTACTGATTTGGGGTTCCAGGTGGAGACCGTGATGGTAGGCTCTGTGTTTCCAACCTATCATCAGACAGTGAGTTCCTACTCACTACTTCCCAGTCCATCCCACTCATTAATTTCCGTGCCAACGGTTTACTGGGGGATCTAGAAGAAGAAAGTAAAGTGACTAACCAAAAAGAACAAAATTACACAAAATTCACCACAATGAAACTGATATTCTACCATAGGAAACCAATTTATATGGAAGAAAGGAAATGTAATAATGCAAAACTATATTTACATTGTATTTTCTCAATATACTGTACTTCATTTTCTGTACGTTGTACAAGAACGCCAATGAAATACAGTCATAAAATACTGTTGTATGGGAGGGAGACAGGCAAGATGGAAGAGGAACCCACTAAACTTCACTAGGCATTTCTAATGCCTCAAAGTGAATCTGACTCAGACAGAATAGTCATTGAGAGGTCTGAAATCAAAAATAAAAAGCAAACCAAAACAAAAAACTCCAAGTAACACAACTATTCAGCCACCTCAGGAAAATTAAAGCAGTGGAAACATCAGCCCAAAAAAACTCCCAAGACTTTGAAGAACTGAAAACGGGGTGATCATCAACATGGCAACAGAGCTACTGAGTTTTGATTACTCATCAGGGATTTCCATCAAGGTGACATGCTTTCTTCCAGAACATGTTTTGTCACCTGTAAGGCAGATGCAATCATCCTATTTAAACTTCTTTGTGGGTCACAAAACTTCATTTAGTTTTGTGCCAGAAATGTCCTTCAGGTTAAAGGTCGTTATCACCAGTGGTTTTATATAAAAGGAATTGCATTTTCTACTTGTGGCCCTTTATTGATATTGAGGAAACTTTTTCTTCTCATTCTTCAGTCATCCCAGCATACCTAAAAACCCATTCTGCTGTTTGTTTCACCTATTTCTTAAGCACAAACGAGACCATACTTGCAATCTCTCAAGAAATACAGCAGTTCCCTTTTATACTGGAAATCATCAAATGAATCATCCAAGAATTGTGGTTACTTTTTTCTTAGCATCACACTGGATGGTTCAGTCACCCTGTGACTAAACATACCCAGACATTTGCTGTTTGTTCTTTTCAACTGAAAATTCTTTAGCCAACAAAAATTATTTTAAACAATCCTTAAATGCCCTGTGTATTTTGTGTTTCTGTGTTTTTATTTTACTTCTACTACTTTGATGGTGCTATATAGTTCAAATTTCTCCCCTGTCATTACCCAACCCCTCTCTTGTTCCAGTGATACCTCAATTTCACCAGTCTTCTGTGCCACGATCATTTCATCCCCATTTGCCTTTATATTCTAACACTATGCTCTTGTCTACTCTCCAGCTCTGCACAATAAGATGACAACATCTTATTGTATCAGCCTAACACCTTCACTTCATTCCCCAGCTCCATACACCCATACCAGAAAGTAACTTCTGCTTTTGCTGTCCTTGGGACACATGGTAACTCTTCTTCATCTTCATCATTACCACCTTACTGATTTACTGAACGCGCAAGTCCAGAAAGAAGGAACTTTGAGAAATTAAGGAACTTCCCTGCACACAATTTACATCCTTCTGAAAATGAGAACCTTAGTTACAAATATATTTTTGCTTCTTACGGAACTTAAAACTCCATGCAAGCCACCGCGCCTTACACAGACTGTCCTCAATATTATCAAAAAAAGTCTACAACAGTAACTAACCAACCGTCATATCAAATAATCTATCTTCACATGGAGAAATACCCAAGTCCTACTGATGTCAGCAGTATTTGTTTGATACTAAAGGAGCAGTGATCTGTGTGTGGACGGTTTATTTTTCTTTTTACTTCCCCAAGCAGTTCTGAACATGTAGTGCATGCTGCTCTGCTGCTCTAAAGACTTGCTGAGTAACAGCAGACAAATTTCAGACAGTTAAGTGAGGTGGGCTATTCTAAATACTACTGTTTCAGGTCTTATTCCACCTGGGTGGAAAAAAAAAATCTAATAGTATACTGACATTTGAAAACAGGGAAAATATCAATTATTTAATTCCTGAAGAAAAACATTTCCAGTTTCTTCGCATGCTGCACTGTTTTTAAGCAGTATTAATTTGATTCAAAAAGCAACGAACTTGATATCATGTCAACTAAACTAACTTTTCAATTTCTGTAATTTGCTTCAAATGTGAGCAACTCAAACCACTTAGATATTTTTGTTCACAAACAGCAAATTTGAGCAGTTCTGAACAGGTAAAGTAACAAGAAACCAACAGAACTGAAATGCATGTATAATGTTATCCATTCATAATTCTTTTGTTAATCAAAGCTATCATTAGCTGGACTTTGCTGACAGCATGCTTGCTAGCCAGCAGATTTGCACCAAGAGCCAGCTCTGCCAAGAGGTGGATTCTACTAACTAAAGAACGGGCTGAGGGAAAAATGCAGAGGAACATAATATATCCAGTGCTAAATTAGGTAACTACAGGACTACAGTATTTTCTGACATGTAAAGGCAGCTGTTGAACCTTATTTACCCTTCAATGAAAAAGCAACAAGTGGAACACAGAAAAGTTGGTGGGTGGTTTTGTTTTGCTTTGTTTTTTTTTTAAATGCACAACAGTGAAAGGGCACTATCCTTGCCTGTGTAAAACAAATTCAATTACAGAGCCACAATAAAGTATACAGGGGGAGGGAAGGGGGAGGGAAATTTCTCCAAAATTAAATTTTTGACTGCCTTAAAAAAAACAAACCCACTGCATTGTATCTTTAAGTCATAGTTTGCAACTACATTTTTTAAAACTTCCTCAATCTGTGCTACAAACGAACATAACTCTAAAATGAGAACAAGTATCACCTTCTTTCCCATCACAAAAAATCCCATGTTAAGAAAACTCACCTTTTACTGTGGCTAGGGTCTGATCTTTCAGAAATAATACCTTACTACCATGATAAACAGCTGCAGCGTTTATCAGCAAAGGTTCGTTTCAATTATTTTATTAACAGCTCTAACCTCAGAGTCCCACCCACTCATGTTTGTTGCCTCCATTTCCTGTCTTTGCAGAAATTTCAAAGAAAAAATTACCGCACTGCAGCACCGAACTTCTCAGTGCTGTGGCTTTTTGATACTAGTTCTCGTGCCAACACTTCTAAATCTAACAATAAGTTATTTTTTTATTAACATTTAAGATATGTTGTGAAATATCCCTGCAAGTTTCTCCTGTATCACTAATTCCTTACAATATTCAAAAAACTTTCTCATACCGGAGTACAGCTGAGGAGATGGGAGGGGGGAAGCAAGCTGTAAAAAAAATTTTAAAATGCTTTGATAAACTTTGAAATTCTAAATTCCATGTTTGTCTGCTCAATCTGGATGCTTCCACTGCACCCCAGCTCAGGGCACTGCTAGTTAACAGAGTAAACTATTTCAGATTTAATTTTTGGTGTATCTGTAGAGACATTCTTAAAAAAGTTGGAAAAAGTCCTATCTATCTGAGTAGGGGCAGAGACTGAAAACTACCTGCCCCCAAAATCAAGAACAGTCTCACGAGCTGTGATATGTCAAAGACAAAGAACAAGTAGTAAGAATGAAATTACATAACCCAACTAAAGGAAAAGCATGACAAATTATATTAGCTCAGCTACAGTACACAAAAGCTTTCAAAGACAGAGTTTGTTTTGCATCCCACAGCTGAAGTGCTAACTTCTCACAGAAGCTGGTAAAGAAAGAGGGTATTGTTTGAGAATGCAGGTGGGAATCTTTTAAATCACTTCTGCCCCAAAAAGAAATATAGCCTAGAGCCACAGCCTTGCTTTCTATTTTGACAGGAGTAGTGGGAATGCATTTCTCAGCAAAACTGGCAACTACAGCTTCAGACCAAGAGACTGAAACTGTATACAAATCTGCAGATACACCACAAATGACGTACGCATTTTAAAGCAACTGAGGAATTATTTAATTAACGTGAGTAAGTGCATAGTTGAAGCAAGACAGGATTTTTAGAAAACAGAGATTGCAACTTAATGATAGGGAGTTTGTAAATACAAATGACTGACTGAGATACCTGCTTGCTATCATACAATGTGCATAAACAACCTTCTCTCAGCTCCAGTACATGCCATCAGAACTGAACACAACTAGAATATTTTGCAAGGACTCTAAGAGAGAACAGTGGTCTTTAAGAAATCTCTCAATTCATTACTTGATCAAACTTTTTTCACTTTTATTATCTACTTTCCCTTTTATTATGCTCCTGGAAATTCTTAAAGGTTTTCTTGGGTTGTGAATATCCAGCAGCAAATGAGCCTAAAAAAATAAAATAAAATCTAAACTGCAGCAACAGTCTTCTAAACGCTTAAATTAGTGTTGCATGAAGATTAAGAAAACAGCGTCTACAAAATGTATCAAGCTTATTACAGACTACCTCCTTCACAGTAATAGATTCCATTTTTAAAAATTAATTTGAAATGTTTTTATGATTTGGCAAAAAAATAATCCATGAGTACTACTTCAGCTAATTTTAAAAGTAAAATCCTGAAGTCAAACAGCTAAGCCTACTAATTGTAGGTTATAACTGCTTGTTTAATTCAAATGAAATATCAGTGTTATTTTCTTACAATGAAATGATTGAAAAGTTTGCTTAGACAGTATTAGATCAAATAAGGCAGCCTCAATTTAGGTATTGATGAGAAAACAGTAAATCTGGACAGGTCTAGAAAAAAAACCCTGAAAACATATTTAATTTTTTTACCTGATCTTGAATAAATCTTCTGATGTGGTAATAATAAAAGCAACAGTAGTATTTTTTTTGTGTGTGTGTCCACTTAATTCTCAAGAAAGACCTGACTGTAATGCTAGCACGTTCCTGGTTTCATAGCAAAAGGCAACCAATACCTAGCAGAACTTTCAAAAGCAACAGAAACAAGCCCACTGCTTGACAGCTTAAAAAACTGTTCAACAACACAATGACTTCAGCCAAAAAAGACAAACTGACCAAGAGAAAAGCAGGTTCCTGGAACAAAAACCACATTATACCTGTAAAACCTTAAAAAGCAAAATTTGTCCTCTGTATAAATCCAAAAGGGATAAAATCTACTCAGTATTTCAACCTGAAATGTAGATGTTTAGAAGACAAGGAATTAAAGAGAATGTTCTTAGTTAAGCTTCTTGAACCACATGGTGTCCTAGAAATGTCTTATATTTCAAGTTTTTTCACCCTTGAAAATACTAAATCTTTGAAATTGAAAATGCATTAATTGCACAGTGTGATGGGGAGGACAGAGGAAGACCCAGATGATCTATTAAAAGCCTTGAGGTATATTTGTTACAATACAACATTAATTTCTGTTCACTGTCGTACACATATATGCCTCAGATATTTATCAGTTATTAACATTTCTAAACAACTCAAAAGGTGAGGATGAATGCCTTAATCTAAAAGCAACAGCGGAAAATAAAATTACTGAAGACAGAAGAGCCAAGTATTTTATTGACTAAAAAAAGCCCCAAAGACTTGAGAAAACATCACAGCATCATTTAGCCATGGCTTTCAATTTTATCCAGTGTATATTACAAAAATACAAGTGACCCCAGCACCACTTGTGCAGTTTTGACTCAAAGGGAAGACTGCCATCTACTGAATAAGAGTTTCTAACGATAAATATACTCCTCAAAACCAAGTATCAGCTCTCCTCCAGCCTACATACTTGTGGGGAATTGCCAAGTTCAGAGTGTAACAAGAAAAATAGTTTTTAACTGATTTGTAACTGTCATTTAGATAAATAAAACTCAGTTGTCACAGTATTGAGCCTTCTAAGTACTAAAAAACTTGCCCCAAGTAAAAATCTAACCAGACTCCCAAAGTAAATTAGAGTAAAAAGTAATTCTACAGCATACAGAATAAATTGGTCTTATAAAAACCTACCTGTTGAACAAACATGTCACAACACTTCTGCCCCCAAATCCTTCTAATATGGAGCTGAGTATCTACAGTGCGCCCAGATAAAAACTCAAATTATATTACATTGCACAGGGGGGAAGGGGATGGGTGGGTGGGGTGGAGGGGGGCAGGAAATCAAGGCAGAATTCACCAATACTCTGAAAAACAGTGCTTGCAGGTACTTGAAAAAAAGGCTGCTGGGCTTATTACTAAAAGTCTGTGAACATAAATTTGAACTAGAGAGTTCCTTAAGGGGTAACTACGTTAAAAGACAATCCCCATCTCAGTAAAAGTATAAGCATAAAAAAAAAAGCACAGAGCATGCTCCCTGCTCATAAGGATTCTTTCTACTAATTATCAGAGCAGACTGCCAAATGGATGCAGCAGCAGGTTTACTTTTGAACACTGCACCATAATTTCTGAATGAAATCTATGTCTTGACTATTTTCTTGTAATCACTAAACCCCTCAGGAGTCTGAAACACAATTAAGTAATAGGTTTATGATTAGCCAACTACTCTGTGACAGAATACCTTCCACAGCAGCTCACTTCCAGTCAAATTTTTCATAGTAAAATACCTCATTGGGACTACAGAGATAAAGCTGTTTTCACCAAGACAGACACTCACAGTACCTTATTCTAAAGGAAATATGTGTATAGAGCTGTAGGTTGTTATCAGGGATAAAACATATCCATTAACTGAATATTTTAATGGAAGAGTTAAAGAGACCATTCTTTGTAATAAGAACAGCACAAAGAGGGCTAGTACATATAACAACAAACTACTCAGACTGAAGGCTATTCTGAATTTTAAGTATATATAAAAGGGAAAATATTAAAGAATACCCTTATTAACTTCTCTGTCATAAGATTCTCCTCCATTTCTGACTGCCCCAAAGAGACACCCTCCCATATCAAAATTAAACTCCTTAATATGTTTAAGTCAAGCCACCAGCAACAGTCAACAACCGTTGCTCTTTATTTTAAATTTTTGCACAGAAAACAATGATCCCACAACATCTAAAAAGATACAAACAGAAGACTTACTGATCTTGTTGTACAAATGTAAACTGCTTACCTTGCAAATACCCTGTCTTTGTTTGCTCTTTCTTTACCATACTGCACAGACTGGACCTCTGTTCTCCCACTGGAAAACAAAACAAAACCAAACCACTAAATGCAACAAACTTAGGATAACAATTTCTTGCTTAAAACTGAACCGTCTCAACAAAAAAGCCCTAAAATCTATTTCCAGTTATGCTAAAGCAATTGCATTAACTTCAGTGTAGTGTAACTTTAGAAAGCATTTGGTAGAAGTGCAGGCCTTCTTTCCCATTACCATCTAATCATAACAAAGATCAATTAATTTTAGGTATAACATAAAGCTTTCTCTTCTCTACCTTTTCCTTCTTATCCAAAGCAATAAGAAAGTTCTGCTCAGATCTTTGAGTAACACTTAACACTATAATCTTTCTTGTTATAGCCACATCAAAAGTTACAGCATCTCATCTGTACTCCTCCTAAACTATTCCCTGAATTGCTCTTAACTTAGTTGCTACTTAGTTCAGCAAAATATCATGAAGTAATTAGATGATAAGCACATCAGGATTGTATTCTTCTACACAACTTGTCAAAACCAAGATTAGATCTTGGAATTTGCTGACTTTTCATATAAGACCAGATGTCTTGTGTCAAACCAGAGATCCTTTATAACATTTTGTAATTTGTTTTAGAAAAAACCCCACAATTTTTCTGAAAAAAAAAAAACAGTTAATTGGTGGCAAGAAACCAGCAAAACTGCCTCTTGCAGCCACTTCCCATTTATAACTTCATACCAAGGCACAGAGTCAGAGGATACATGTCCTAAAAGGGTACTGATACTTAAAACTCTGCTCTTTTATGTCCCTGTAAGGGACATTTACACTATGAAATCAAAGAATAACGAGCTATTTTCACATTCATATTACAGAACTGCTGGATGTGTGAAGGCTGGAGAAATGGGCCAACTGGAATCTCCCAAAGTTCAGTGAAGAGAAATGCAAAGACCCACACCTGGGGAGAAATAACCCCATGCACAGGCTGAGGGCCAACTGGCTGGAAAGCAGGTTTGCTCAACACGGGTGAGACTACATCTGGAATGCCTTGTCAAGTTCCAGGGTCCCCCAAATCAAGCAAAGGGCCACAAAGACAATTAGGAGTCTGGAACACCTGATGTATGAGGAGAGGCTGAGAGAGCTGGGAGTGTTCACCCTCAGGAGGAAAAGGCTCAGGGGGATCAAATGAGTGCATATAAATGCCTGAAGGAGGAAATTAAAAAATACAACCAGACTCTTCTCAAGGGAACCCAGAGAAAGGACAAGAGGCAACGGGCACAAACTGAAATGAGATATCCTACACAAACAGAAAGGGGAGGGGAGCGGAAATCAACAACCCACCCACCCCCCAAAACAAACAAACAAAACCCCACCTTTTTTACCATGAAGGTGATCAAACACTGGATCAGGTTGCTCAGAGATAGAGCGGAACCTCCATCCTTGGAGACGTTCAAAACCTGGCAGGACACGGTCCTAGGCAACCTGCTATAGTGGACCCTGTTTGAGCAGGGCATTGGACTAGACAGTGTCCAGAGCTGCCTTCCAACCTCTGCCAAGCTGTGATTTTAAGAAGTCTCTCTTTTCAAACCTGGGGTTGTACATTTTTAACTCTGACAAGCAGTAAGCCATCTGTATTTTCCTCTATTCCTTTCCAATAATAACACTGTATTTGCCATATCTAATTGCTACTAATAATTGATTTAAAATTTTCAGAGAACTACTAGCTCCGAGACAGTAATACCTTATTTATAATTGATGTTCCTCATCTTTTCTCTCCCTGTGTAGATTATTTTGCATTTTTGGACACTGAATTTGATCTACCATTTTATTGCCTACTCACCTCTTATTGGGACATACCACCAAAACTTTCTACAGTCAACTTCAGCTTTTACTACAAAAACCTGTACCACTTCACTGGTAACTTCCCTCTGCTGTGAAGAAGGGACCTACTTGTTTCCCAGCTGGTTAAACCAGTTGCTAATATACAATAAAACTCATCACGTTTTGGCAGTTTAACTTCTTTAATGAGTATTTGGTGAGGGATTCTATTAGAAACACTTTGAAAATCCAAGGGCAGTGTACAGAAGTCAGATTTTCTTATCAGTAGCCTTCCTGATCCATCCTGGAAGGTGTTTTTTAAAAAAAAAAAAACAAAACAAAACACCAAACCTTTCTTTTTAATTTGCTGCATTAGAATATTTTAATCCAACAGAAATAATAGATTATGTAACACATTTAATCGTTCAACAATTTCATGTTTCTGATTTCTTTCAGAACTGAATATAATTCTGTCTAGCCCTGGCAGTTTAGTATTTTATTAGTTCATTTTAATCATAGGGATGTTGACTAGAAGTCTCTCATCCAATCTCCTGCTAACACTAGGCCATGTCTGGAGATGGCTTTGTCTAGCCGAGTTTTGAAAGCCTCCAAAAAATAGAGATCCCACAATCTCTCTGGGTAACTTGCTCCAGTAATGCGCTATCCTCCTAGAAAAACAAAAAACCCAAAACTTTTCCTAATGTTGAGCTAGAATCTTCAAGGTGAAATTTGTGGCTGTTGCCCCTTGTCCTATCACCTGGCATTACCAGCACAAGTTTGGCTCCATCATTTCTGACGCTGCCCTTGAAGTAGCTTTAGGCTTGCTACTAAATTCCCCCCTAGCTTCCTCTTCACCAGATTAAACAAGCCCAGTGCCCTTAACCTCTCCTTGTGTGCCATGTTACTACTACTACGCTGCTTCTAAACAATCTCTCAAACTACTTGCAGAAATTCTAGCCTTTTGGCTGCTTCATTAACTTTAATGACCTTCTTCATTTTTATGCCGTTTCCCTTTTCATCTTACATTAACATAAGTTGAATGTCATCATCAAAGAGCTATTCTGTAATAGTAACCACAATGATTCAAATTCAAAACCTTTACAGAAATGGAAAAGCTCCCCCAAATTCACTACAACAACACTGAACCAAGTCTCAAACGCTGTTCAGGATCACAGAATGCTGTTTCTCAAATGGTGCTGTGAATGCTGGTCAAAAATACAGATGGTATAAAAATTTAGCCACTGAATTACTTTCCTCTTAATACACTTATGCAATTCACAAGTGTAACAGAAATGGTCTGTTATTGTGTTTTCTAGCATTCCATTATCTCCCCTTGTACGTCACAGACACTGTTGCCATTCTAAACAGATAATTAGTAGTAGCTCCATTATTCTCTACTTCAGGCACGATTTAAACCATCAGCATTCTGCATTACTTGCAGAAACAGTTAACTCTGTTACTTAACTAAGAATTTTTTTTTTTTTTTAATGAAAAGCATAAAACACTTTAAAAACCAACACCACCCACTCCATCGTTAGAACAGAAATTGTACTTTGGATTACAGTTATTCCACAGTCATTCTTTGTACCTCCAAGCTTTTTGCCTATTATGTTAAGTTCATCCTTAAAAGGTAGGGACTTAATTTCACCCTTACTTTCTAAACTCCTGGTTTTGGTGCAGAACACGTTATGTCTTTTGTCTGCACCTAGCTGCCTATTTGTACACATCTAGCTTAAGTGGGCTTTACTTGTACAAGCTTCTTTTCATCAATTTCTGTTTGATCTCTATTTAGGTCTGTTTTGCTGCAGTTGCTGCACACAGGATCTGAGATCCATCAGTTTTCAAAAACACCAGGCCAAAGACTTTGAAATTCTGAGACAACATTTTTTTAAGATAAACATAAGCCAGCAGGTAAAAGCAAGGGAAGAAATGCAGCCTGTGAGACAATCTCAGAGTACGAGCTCAATAACGACTGCTAATAACAATAATTGTATTTCCAAGATATCCTTGAATATTACAGACAACATTTGAAACTTAGGTCAACAGGGGAGGGGAACAGTTGCAGGATTCAAAAGCTACTTTAATTATGGTACCTTTTAATACAGATTCTAAATAATTCCCTATGTTTATTGATGAGTTGCCCGTTCTCTTATGTTTCAAATCAGCACTTACCAGTACCGGAACTTGGAACCCAAAGTGAAATAATGTGCAAAAAAGTTCTTCTGAGGGGGGAGTGGTCTGTCCAAGCGGAAGAACGTGTGATGTTCAACACAAGCTTTCCACAGATTCTTACATGCTCGGTAATTCACCATATTGAATCCCAGTAACGTTTCTCTAGATTCATGCTAAAAATGAGAAAAATTTATTTCAGATAAAAACTATTCCCAGTTACTTTCGAAATGAAGAGAAATACTGTTAGTTTTGGTGTTGTTTTTTTTAAAAATTATGCTTTTTGAAGTGGTTCTCTAATTTTACATTAACTTTATGTATTATAAACCCTTTTAAAATACCTACATTTTCTTTAAAGTAATTTTTTTTTCTTTTTTTTTTTTAAATGAGCCTGCTCAACAGTCTGTTTAGTGATATTGAAACCAGTCTAGATGGGAAGAAATGACCCAAAAAGATAGGACCCAAACTACAGTAAAAAATCTCTGATGCAAGAACTCGGAGGCAAGATGACTCCCTATTTCAAGATTACTACAGTTAAGACAAGGAATTGTCATACACACTTGACAATTACAGATTGGGAACAGGTATTGACCTCAAGAGCAACTGATGTGCCTACTTCTAAATGATTAATTAGGTTCATGGTAAAGGAAAGAAGCAAAATTGCAAAGCAAGCTAAGATATTCTGCCTGTTGAGGGAGCTTGATTACAAACTTTGTAGGTCAGAAAACATCATCAGCACTCTCCTTTCTCTTCACAGTACTAAATCCTCCACATCATTTAGCAAACCTTAACTGTTTTCACTTAGCAGTAAACTTCTTTTCCAAGTTAAGCTTTTGCTGGCCTGCTCATCAATTAGATCTGCTGAGATACCAAAGCATAGGCCCACAACTCGTGTCACAGTGTTGTATTTGGGAAGTCGTCATGACTAATGGCTAAGAATGATGCTATTTTCAGCCACATGATGAATTTGGGGTAAGAATAAAATTGATTTAAAGACTCAACAGCAAATTCTGAGTATCTATTAATGAAATTCAAGAAATTATAGGCAAGAAACTAAAACCTGATATTTTGCTTCAATTTACAAAAATTACTTCTATCTCTTTTCTTAGTTTCCAAATATCACCAACTGTCCCCTGTATTTTCGAGACATGTTAACAGAAGTACTTGAAAACAAAAAGTCACAAAGAAGGTAACTGAAATTAAGTCCATTACCCATTCAGTTAAAAAAGGCTTTATCAACAATGTCAATGTATAATAATATAAACAAGATACATTACTATTCTGCAAGGGAGCAACTATGTGAAATTATGGACTGCCTCATCTGGATCCAGTAAAGGACAAATCAGCTAAGATTTTAGATTCCAACAAAGAGTTCTTATGATGTAGCAAATTTTAATGCTCTGTCAGCCTTTTATACTGTTGGAAAAGAGAATTTGACAAGTTATATGAGCTGATGATCATGCATTTTCATGTCACTCAAAGCATTATAATTTATGGGTTGGGGGGGGATATCCTGCTGTTTCCCCTAGTTTGTATTCCAGAGAACAAGCCGATCTGATTCTCATGCCATCTGATCACTAGATCAGGCATGAAGCATGAAGGAGGAGCTGGTATCACATGATGAGAAGGAGCTACAGCTAGATCAGCTTAATTGTAATGCGAAACAGCACTTTCACAGGAACTTGGTGTGTTAGAGCTTTAAAGGTACCTTAACAATAGTTCTATTCATAGCTTCTAAGGCTTTCATTGCAGTGCAGACAGAACGGATTCTCAAACCCTACCCTTCATCTCAATTAGCTAGGAATCATTTTTTAAGGTAAAGATGAGTGTAAGATATTGGCTCCTAAGTGCACCCATTCTTTTCCTATCTACCCTTGCAGGTTCTGTAATATCCAAGCGTAACTTGGGTGCTTGAAATTTATCTTTGCTGATGATTCTGGGGTGCAAGACCTGACTCTACTGCTGTCCGGTAGCTGGATTTAGAGTTAGATTGTTCCTGCTTTCCCTGAAAATAGCAGGCCTGAATCAATGTGGCCTTAGCATAAGACCCCAAGGCAACACTTATAACGTCTGTGGTACTTCAGCCAAAAGCACATAAAATAACAGGACAGTTATACTGCAGCCTATGAGAACGTTTTTATAGCACAAGGCTCCGGGAAGATGCTGAATGCTCTGTGGTATGACGACATACAGGTAATTTCAGGGTTTTAGGTCTGTTGAGACAGTTAGAAGACTACCCCAGGGAGTCATAGTTGGATTCTGCTCTGAGATTACTATCTTACTAATTGTGTCCACGGTCCCTACTAGAGGGAGGAAAACAGACTGCTTGCTATGGAGGGGGAAAAGAGTGAAGCAGCTGGAATGCAGCACATGTTGAGGCTCAGGGTCCAGACATGAAACTATAGGTAAGCCAAACACCACCATGTAAGTTAATTTAAATCATAACCTTACAAACGTACACCACGTGGCAGGCTACCTACAGAGTCCAAGAAGAAACACTGGAGCAATAGGGCAAAGTAAAGTCTAAGTCATGTTTGTGGTTCTTATTAAAAGGACAAAAAACAGACAAAAAAAGCAGAAGAGATACTAGTGCCTTCTCACATACAACAGCTCAGCCCCACCTTGGGTAGGGACATTAATTCAAACCCACCTTTGCCCGATTTGAAACAAGGACTTCAGAGCAGGTGTCTCAATGCTCAGGAGAGAAACTGGGTTGAAAAACATATTCTCCAGTGGGTCTCTCACTTTGCCTAAACAAAAAAAATCCCAGAACAAAGCAAAAATCCCCTACCCCCATCTCCAAGAGAGACAAAAAGCCTTGCCCCTTATAAGCAGCAGATGCTCCAGAGACTCAAGATATTCCAGACAGCGGACAAAAGTCCTGTGGAAGCTTAAAAGCAACCACAGATTGGGCCAACAGTATCTGCTCTTCACGTAAAACCATGACAGCAGAAACTTTGACAGGATTAAGCAACAATTGAGTAGGCATCTAATGAATGCCAGCATTACTTAAGACCAAGTATGTACTTGGGCAGATAAGCCCATATATCACCTTGTGATTCTAGCCCGAGTTATTTCTAAAAGTCAGTAAGAAGAAAAAGTTCAAAGCACAAACTTCAGACACACAATCTATAATTAAGAAAAAAAAAAAATATATATATAATTTTGGCCACTCAGTGAAACCGGGTCTTGTTCATGGACAAAAGCTATGATATTGTTTCATCACACACTCAAGTGATTTTTAGAGCCCAGATGTCCACTGAAAAGAGCAGAAGAACAGGCTGAACAGCTTATTTGGCTGTTGAAGAATCAAGAACATTAAGTATGCCGAGTAGCATGAAGAGTTTGATACTGACTATTGACACTACAACAGCCAAGGGTTCAATTAACTAAAACCGGAGAAGCTTAGGGAAACATCTAGAAACTGAATATTCTTAAACAGCTTCAAGGCATGTAAGGGAAGCAGCATATGGAACAGACAGAACAAACAAAAACATGGTGGAAAAACCCACCACTGAAGTTATGGCTCAGGGGGCTTCTAATGTTGGGTGAAGAAGTCATACATATAACATTCTTTCGCCCTCTCCTCCCCAAAACATGAAGAAACAATGGAAAGAAAATCTACTCCAGTGGATGCGTGCTCCAGGTATATAATTGTCAGAATACACAATCAGCTTCCATTTAAGATTATATTACACTACCAGTGGAAAATGACTTTGACATTAAACTACTTCATCTGACTTCCTTTAAGTGATTTATTTAAACACAGATAAAATCTATTAAAAGTAGGCAAATTATTCTTTACTTATGTTGGTGCCTCTAAGCCATGCCAAGTCAGGGAATAAATTTAATAGGTGATTAAAAGATAAGACACTTGCACTTTTGAGGACAGTTGCAATTAAAAGCTCTCAACACTCATTAGCAGTATTTGAAAAATATCTGTTTAGGACTACTTGAAAGCATATGTAGCCCAGTTTGGAAAAAAAACCACAAACCAAACCACTGGAAAATTCCTCTCCCAAGTCCACTAATTTAATATCCTATAGCATCTCAGCTTTGCATCAGAATAAATACGGTTACTCAGCTGTACAATTTGTTATATATTTACACACAACTTTGAAACACATCATCAGCATACCATGAATATATTTTCACTGCCATATCGTAAATCAGTGCTTTTGAATATACACTCAAAGCACTAGACCAGAGGTATTTTACATACCAAATGTGCAATCACTGAGTCACTTCACCTAGTTTCTGATGCCTAAAAAGAGCCATTTAGGTTCCCTTTACTGTTAATGGGAGTGAAAGCAAAAGCAAGCATATACCACCAGAGAGCAACTTAATCCATCCTAAAACGTACACTTGCAATTCAAGCAAGACATTTCACCCTTTGCATGTGTCTGGTTGCTCTAGAGGAAGTCTGATGTTGGAAGTAACAATTTTAATATTAGGTTTGATTAAAAAATTAGTTTAAGTATGCCTTCTTTGGAAGCCAAATTTGAGCTTTGATCTTAATATATTCATGACTTGGAATGAATGAAAATTAAATTCTTGCCATCAGTTTTCATCTGATACATAGAGTTTAAAGAAAAACAGTACAAGGCTTTTTAATTTGTTGGCTTAGATAAGATGTCTCAGAAGAGAAATTACATTAGTTACATATACTACATTCTGGTGCAAGTAACAATATGCAGAGTATTAAAAAACAAGAGAAAAAACAAGATGAGAAAGCTATCTTTATATTACCTTCAATTATATGCAGAATTTTTTTTCTACAGAAAATAGAGAAAACACTGAAGTACAGTACCCTATCTGATTTTATATGTAGGCATCTCAGTCTTCAAGGTCCTGAACTCTGCCACTACAGGCTTTTCCTCAAGTTCCCATTTAGAAAACAACCACAGTTCATAATTGCTGAATTCCAAATAAAACCTCCAATTCTCAACTCGGATCTAAATACAACATTCCTGCAACTGTAATGGAAGTTGCACACACCGGTATCAAGACAAAATTTGACCTCTGGGTTGTCAGAGATCAGTTTGCCTTTGAGAACTTGCCCCTAGCTCCTGCAGAGTATTAAGAAATACCTGTGCACCACAATGAAATATTCCTTCCCCACTTTTTTGTATCATTACCATTTTTCTGCTCACATTACATGATGTCTGCTCACACTGACAGATATTCCCGTTTACTTAATGTAAAAGCCAAAGTTAATTTCTTTCTACATGTAATGACTCCAAAATCCTCTAACTCCTGTTACCCCAATTCCAAACTGATAGCTACTCACACTGCTCCAAGCACATGGGTTAAACTTCTCCTGCCAAGTAATACATAACAAAGCATCTGCCTGTGGTCAGTTAGTCCCATGTGTGAAAAGTGCAAACTCCTGGGCCTCATTTTAAAGGATCTGCTTTTAAGATACACAGTTTGACTCCTGATTTCAGTACTAGTACTAGTCACCAGCCATGGGCCTGACCTGACGTGACAGGTGTTTCCTCCTTATATTTTTCTTGCTTAACCATATTGTCTCTAAATCTGCAGTAGTCCTATAGTACTCAGGATGTATTTCTGCCTAGATTCCATCTTTTTTATCTAGTCAGTAACTCTGCATTTCAGGTCTTCAAATCCTTTCAGCTGTGAGAACTGCACAAAAGCTTTTAACTAATCTGATGAGTTAATCACAGTCATATTTTTAATTATTTCCTCCATCTTTCCCCAGTGATATGTCTGTGATGGGTTTAAGAGTCTAATCTCTTGGAGGCATGGAACAATCCATTTCTTGCTGAATTAAATGCGCAGTGGTCCTGTGGTGCTTCACATGGTAGCCAACACACAACACAGGCAGTGAAACACACATTCTTCACAGAAAACTTCAACTTTTTCCCCAACAAATTTAGAAGTACGCATCAAAAATTATGAAACATAATTTAAAACTGCAAAAACATTTTTATCTCTTCTGTTTAACTATAATACAGCCAGCTTGTATTACTAAATATGAATACAAAGCAGCATGTTTTAATCAAACATTTACTTACAAGCACATACACAACTAGAAGCAGCATTAAGCATTACCTTTAATTTGGTTTCTTGTGAAATTTAAATTTAATATTGATTTACTTTCAAGCTTTTCAACATTTGTCTTATATAAGCAAGTTAAATTTCCTGCATACAAATGTAAAACTAAACTTATCTAAGATATAAGGCAAATCAAATGAAAAAAAAGTCTTATAAAGCATGTAATGGCCCATTTGAGAACTGAAATATCCAGAATGCTGGTGAAGCTGGACTTTTAATTGCAGATAAAGACAAGAATCAACATAATATCAGTCAGTATAACGTAGACGTGCAGTACAAAGAAATTTCATTGCTCTCATTTTTTGAAATGAAATTTAAGACAGTACTTACCAATTCTTTCCTAAGTTGAATAAAAAACTGTTTGCACTTAAAAGAAATTTTTACAATCTTCAACCTAAATGAAAAATAAAATCACAATATTTAAACACTTAGTATACTGAATCATGGTTAAAGGCTTAAATACACCCACAGAAAATATACTTTCTAGAGAGGCCAGATTTCATTTCATGCCCATGAAATTTCCATAGACAAAAAATAACATATCAAAGATTACATAAAATAGCTTGTATAATTTGAAATTTATGAGCCGTATACTTGTTTCCATCCTAAACCCAAGGCAGTTGCTAATTTAAGTATCCTTTCCCAGTTCCAAAGTCCAAAGAGGTATTCTATCCCCAGGTCATTCCAACCAAATGTTCTCTTTTCTCAGAAATTTCTTCACCTGATTCCTGAAAGACATACTCTTTCTCTATGTTCTTACATGTCTTTAATTATAACCAGAACTTGTTTTAGTAAAATAGCTCAGGCAAGATATAAACACAGAGATAAGGACTTGTGATCTTGGTATTTATAAAGTTAAAAAACAAAACAAAAAATCATCTCACTATGAAGAGGAAAAAACATTTAAAGTATCACATGACAGGGAAAAATCAGCCTACAGATCTTTTTGTCTTGGAGGTTATCTATAAGTATACAAGATGCTGGCAGTAATTCCAGACAATTTTGGATGGTCACTGTAATGCCAGTTATGCTAAATGAGAAAAGACAGGCCGTATTTCCATCACAATCTAGTTATACACTTTTTCAAAGAAATGCAATATTAGGATAGTGCGCATCCTATATTAAATATATTGGAGTATTATTTTGGTCAAGAATAAAAGCAAGGTTACAATTGTAACAAGAAAAAACATTAACTTCTGTGACTTTTAAAAGGAACAACTGATACAATACTGCAAACTGTAGAACACTAAATTCAAATGCTATGTCACTCAGAAGATATTTCGCTGACAATTGTCATGAAACTCAAAGTAAAAGAGAATCTAGATCACACAGTGAACTTGCAGGAAATTACAAGCAAACTCTTCAGGGTTTTTCTTCAACCTTTTACACAGCACGTTTATACAGAGCACCCTAACTAATCTGAACTGTCATCTCTGATAGTCCCTGTACTTCAAGTTATTATATTGGCTTGATAAAGCTACAAAAGAAAGAAAAAAAAAAAACCCAAACCAAACAAAATGTCAACGAAGGCAGTGCTACAATTTTTGAGATAAACTTAATGATGAAGAATATACAGGGACCTCAATAATGACTGGAATTACCACCTGCATATTAATCACTGTATTGAATAAAAAACCCTCTAGACTAGGAAGCATGAGAAGCAAACATTAACAGACACCTAAGTTGGATATCTATAGATATAGAAATTATCTTCTTAACTAAATCAAATGGAGGCATTTTTCTCCAGGGGATTATTCGGAGCAGGAACCTAACTTGGATGTCCTAACTTGTTGAGAGAGTTTCTATCTCCAATAACATTAAGGGAGTTTGTGAATATTAGCCTTTAAATTATGCTTATTTAAATATTTTCCGATTTCTTTTTTCTTTCCTAGCTTTGCCATTAGTAAAAAAAAAAAAAAATTAAAAAAGCAGCAGCTATAACTGTCTTTTTTTTTTTTTAATTCTTAACAAATTGTTGCTATTGCAGTTAGTTTCTCAGGGATTAGAAACTAAAAAGGGGGCTAACAGTTTATCTACTGAAATCAAGTTATTCCACTGGCAATGCAGCAATTTTCTTAGCACCTCCTGTAACAAACAGTTGCTTAAGAATGATTAGAGATGAGTCTTAAATTTGCTGGATGGGATAGACACTAGTGATTATAGCAGTCTGACTGTGGGGGGGGAAAAAAAAAAAAACAGAAAAAGGTTTTATTAGACTATTTAGGCTGCTGGTAATCAGAAATATGTTGTGATTGATTTTCTAAAATTTTGGGGTACAGGGCAATTAAAAGAACCTTTTAATATATATCTTCTAAAAACTGAACTGCATACACTCTAAAACATATCAGATTTGCTTTGCATGCCAACAGGAAACGTGAAAATAAATAAAAAACATTCCATTTGTAAAAACATTCTACTACCTTTTACTGTTGTTTTTCCCTCTTTTGCTAAAGAACTTACTGCCTTTGGTGATTTACAGACTCAAGGAGAATGATAAGGATGAAAGCTATACATACTGGTTTTTAATCCGACCCCATAATTTAGGCAGAGTGAGGTCAGCTGCCTTTTAAGCCTGCAACCATTTGGAACAGACTCAAAACTATAACAATAAGGTCTAACTCAACCCATAAAAGTCACCATTCAAGTACAAAGAAATGACTCAGTAAAGCTCAATCTCAGCTATTTTGGAAAAATACAGCAGATAAGAGAGAGTTCATATGTATTGCTCACAGGCTGCTAGTCATTAAATAAAGATATCCATACTCGGCCGAAGCAAAAGGTATGTCTGCCTATGGTTCCTTTCTCTGACTGTTGGCAATGGTGCATATCCAAGGAAAGGGTAAGAATAGGCAGGCATCAATAATGTTTTCCTGGTATGATTTTCCAGTTTCCATTTATCTCAGACATCCTAAATCATAAGAGATATCTTTTAAATTATGAGATATTTAAAAATCCTAGTCTAAAATGAAGACTGTACTCAAACACGTGGAAGGAGTCTCATGATACCAAGCCCTGGTTCTCACTAAGGACTTTACCACCCCAACCCTTGCCGAGAAGGTGACAAGGCAGGACACAAGCGATCCAGCAAATTTCTCAACCAAGACTTCTTTGGCACAGGGTCTGGACCTGTCAGCTCAGGAAGATGCTCTTGGTAGCACAACTCACAAACAAGGAAGGACTGTCCAGATTTAGTAGTAAAAGGCAAACGTGGCTCCAGTGGCTGTGAGATGGTGAAGCTAAAGATCCTGAGGGAAGTGAGGAGGGGTGCAGCACATTAAACAACCCTGGAGTTCAGGAGAAGAAACTTCAGCTTGCTCAGAGCTCTGGCAGGCAAAATCCCTTGGAAGCAGCCTTTTGGGACACAGGAATTGAGGATAGGTGGCCAATCTTAAAGGCCACTCTTCTTGATCCACAACAACCCAGATATGCTAGAAAACATGATATGCTAGAAGCACAGAAGGAGGCTAACTTGGATGAACTCGGAACTGCTGACTGAGCTCAAACACAAAAGGAAGTGTACAGGATGCAGAAGCAGGATCAGATGACCAAGGAGGAACACAGCAGTACTACCTATGCATTCAGGGATAAAATTAGGAAAGCCAAGCTGCAACTGCAGTTGCAGCTGCCAATGGAAGTGAAAGGTAAGAAAGCTTCCTAGGGGTACATTGGCCGCAAAATAGAGGCAAAGGAAAGTGTGTCTCCACTGCTGGGCAGGTGATCTAGTAACAAAGGAAAGGCCAAGGTACTCCATGCTCTTCTCCTTTGGTCCTTCAAGGGCAAGATCTGCCCCCTGGATTCACAGGCCTCTGTGCCTGGTAGCAGACTGGGGAAAAGAGGAATTACCCACAATATAAGAAGATCAAGTTAGGACACACTGGATAGAAGGCAGTCTCCTTTGTTTTGCCTTATTCCCTCCTTGTCTCCCTCCTGTTTCATTTCTCCCCATGATCACAAGGATCACAAAATGCAATTTTGATATAGTATCAAATTAAGAGGGAGAAGGCAAAGACAATTTACTTGGTTCTTCTCTGAGCAATACAGTTAAATCTTTGTTTCTTCCCACATACATGCATGTCTATCCTCTCACTTGTCTCAAAACTCAGCCCAGGAGTACTGAAAAAGGGATATCTAAACATTCACTGTAGCCATAAAGCACTGAGAAGACATTACACAGCTCCAGTTTCACAGGAGCAAGAATAAATACAAGCAAGAATAAGTATCAGGACTGGTGTCACTGGAGTAGCTGTATGACTGTGGATAAAAAGGAAAGGTAATAGGTCTACTATTGAGCTATATTGTGAGAACTGACATTTCAGATCCTTACTCATAGCAAAAGAAAGCCTATAATCGGACAAAATGGTGGGGGTGTGTATGCAAGGGGAGGGTGGGGTGTTTTTGTAAAGACCAATTATGTTGGTACTATAGTCTTCACAGGAAGAAATTAATATCCCTGATGTCAGCTGATATGGTTGAATACAAAGAAGAACTGTTTAGGTAATTACACACACACAAAAACCACATTAAGAATTTAGATCAGCATCCCTGGCATGCAAACAATATGAAGCAGAACTCACAGAAACCTCTAGCTTCCAGTAGGGACATGTAGCTTAATTATGACTTACACTGTACATACTCAGTAATTCACTGGTGCGTTTTATAGAACTTGCTTCTACTACTACTGTTTTCCCCCCCAAAACAGCAGTAAAAGCAGCCTGAATTAAAACCTTCCTGATTATTACAGCATTGCATTTACAAAGCGGCCTTAACCCAGAAATGGCTCTAACATTTCAAAACTCTTACCAGCTGAAGGATATCTTTCTTAGAACATGTCACTATTATAAAGGTCTGGCTGACTAGTACGGTAGTTCCAGACTTATCATTGCAAGATCCATATTTAATTTACCCAACTAACCATGGAGACCAAAAATTTACATGCTCCATAACTGCCTCAGGCTTATTTTTCTTTAAATGCTTACAGGCAAAATGTTTACCATGTTCAACTGTATCTGTCTGTGGATAACATTTATATCGTAGCTTTGTCTTTTTTCCTCTACCAAAAATCTACCAAAACTTGACCATTCACAGTGTTCCTCCACATGGTAAACCACCAAATACATAACAGAACTTGAGACTATGCTTAGCACAGGAGACCAGAATGTCTCAAATTCATTGCATTGCAGGAAAGATCAAGACTGTGACTAACATCCTGAATCTCTGCAAGGGAACTTACTAAGTGAGAACAGGTCACTGATTACAGGTAATGGATCTTACCCTGTGCTGACAGAAAACAATAAAAACCCAAAGATTTCAACTGCCCGTATCAGTCTGAATTCAGAGAAAAGTTTTCCCAGTTTCAATTGTGGTAATCAATTTAATCTGTTTATATGAAGATGACAGACCAGCCAAGAACTTTAGAAACGTCCAGTCTGCACTGCCCAAGCACACAAATCAGTAGCAAATGAAAATGCAAAACTTATATTTTTTTCTAGAGCGAACAGGTTTTGTGCCTGGTAAACTACTGCCTGTTATGATAATTATATATGGCTGACTTCACCCACTCAAAATGCTGTTATAGCACACTCAGCGACATATGTAGTAAGAAAGGCTGTCAAAGTGGATTCCAAGCAGGCATAGGAAACCAAGGGAAAGTTACTTCTGAGGGAACTAAAAAAAAAAGCACTGGGGGAGGTGACATAACTTCTGTAAAGCACTATAGAAGTTATAGTGTAGAACAGGATTTCTCATATCTTTCCCCTTCTTACATGAATAAATAAGAACAGAATCCCAGGAAAGCTGATAACTAGAGTAAAGTATTTAATGAGGATAAAACTATGTTTACAGAACAGCTTTAAAAAATATTTTAGTTAAGAGGAAAAATAAATTACAGTTTTTTTCTGCAATAAATGCACTCTTTGATCCTTAGAATGAAAATGGTTATCTATGGATGTAGAGAGGACAATACCCTGAATGCTCCACCTCAGTTATCCTCACGTGCCATACCTACGTTAAATTTAATACACACAGTGCAATTAAATTACACGTGATGAAACCAGGTAAGAGCAATCACTCACCAGGTTAATATTTTTAAGTTCAGTCGTCTCTTTAAAGGCTGTGAGCTAGACCATAGTACTGGCCCTGGCTATGTATAGTTAATTAAATGTAAAGTATGCCTACAAACTCCTGAACAAAAAAATGTATTAAAATTCATTATAGTTTTCACCACAATCATTTAACAGCACAGCATGCAGAACAGGACAAAACCCCATCATAAAATTACCCATAGCACAGCATGAGGTGAATCATTTCAACTTGATATGCTAACAACTAAGTTTCAGTCTTTTTTAAAGCATGTGACACTGGTAGTGGTAAAAATATGTTTTGAAATTCCAAACAAAAAATTAGCTTAAACAGCTGTCCTTACCACTGAAAGGTGTTAATTCGTACTCTGTTCTTAAAAATTAGTATTCCACCTGACATCACTCCAATCATTATTTCATTGTTACTCTGATCCTTTAAAAGAAAAGAGAAAATTACTTGAAGAACAATATAAATATATTTGAAACCTCATATATATTCATTCTCCTCTCTCTCTCAACACACATACCACAGTAAAGCAGATCTCAATAAACATGGAAAGAAATGTGTTATTTAATAAGTGTCCTGGTTTCAGCTGGGACAGAGTTAATTTTCTTCCTAGTAGCTGGTATAGTACGGTGTTTTAGATTTAGTATGAGAATAATGTTGATAACTCACTGATATTTTAGTTGTTGCTAAGTAGTGCTTGCGCTAGTCAAGGACTTTTCAGCTTCCCATGCTCTGCCAGGTGCACAAGAAGCTGGGAGGGGGCACAGCCAGGACAGCTGACCCCAACTGCCCAAAGGGCTATTCCAGACCATATGACGTCATGCTGAGTATATAAACTGGGAGGAGTTGGCCGGGGGGGGGCAGTGGTCGCTGCTTGGGTACAGGCTGGGCATCGGTCATCGAGTGGTGAGCAACTGCATTGTGCATCGCTTATTTTACATATTCTGTATATTCTCTTAACGTTGTTATTATCATCATTCTTGGCTGTTTTGTTAAACTGTCTTTATCTCAACCCATGGGTTTTACTTTTTTATCCCCCCCCCCAGATTCTCTTCCCCATCCCACAGGGGCCAGGGGGAGGAGGGGAATGAGCGAGTGGCTGTGTGGTGTTCAGCTATCTGCTGGGTTAAACCACAACAATAAGTTAAGTAAGAATTAAATTATTCATTCCAATTTAGGACAAGCCTGAATGTTTGCTCAGAGTTCTTTATAAGCTAACATCTAATTTTAGTTTCTTAAGTTACATCTTCTGTCTTCCACCAGCTTCAAAGAAAAACACAATATAGAGTAATCTAGCAGTTTATTACAAGCAACAGCACTAATAGACTGGCTTGATGTTTGCTACACTAAAAGCAACAAGCAACTTAAATTCCTACCTGAAAGGAAATTGCAATCTCAGAATAGAGAGAAGAGAGATTCTAAAACAAACAATATTGTAAGTGTATTTAAATAGCACATTTTTCCTGAAATATCTTTGCACTCTAATCACACACCTACTATAGGTCTCAATATGTGTGCAATAACAGCAGGATACAGACAGCAGTGAAGTGGGGTACGTTTCAAATTCTATTGCAACTTTCTCTAAACTTAAGGAATAGGACAAGAATCTTTATAAAACAGAGGTGTCAGTTACTAAAAATAATTGTATTCAGAGGCTTTGCAGAAATGGTAGCACTGTATTGACAGGGTGAGATCGTTGAGTCAAGACCTCGAGCTACTTGCTTTACCAGGTAAAATCGATGCTTTATCAAATTATAGTGCAGTCACCTTACACTAACAGTTCATATTAGATAATGATGATTTATAATGTGGTTCTAATCAGAACCAAATTAAATATTTTGCAAAGCTGACATCCTTAAATATCAAAAGCACATTCAACAAGCACATTTTACTTATTCACCAGTAGCCAACTGAACTGGCGTTCAGGCCAACAAGGCTCAACCTGAATAACACATGTATAACTAAGCTCAAATTTAAGCAAAGAAATACCCTCACTAGAGCGAAATAGCAGCTACTGAAATTGGTAAATCACAGTTAGTCACCTAATAAGATAATCTAATCATTTTTTTCTCTTATAAGCAGCAGCCAGGAAGGCTCACTAAAAAAAAATAATAAAATATTGATTTGTCCACAGATCTCCGAGGAATCCATTTTTGCATTACAATACTAGTTCATCCAAACTTACCCTTGCATAGTGCAATTCAACTCCATAAAGTTCTAAGGTACGTGCTGTATTGAGATAATTGAACTCTGCTTCTGCAGGAGACAACCCTCTGAAAGAAAGAAGCTAAATCAGGAACATTCTAACATAAGCCCCTACATCAGGCTCCCTAGTGAGCTAAAGCAGAAAATTTGCATTTGTTTTACCAGTTCCACCCCCCACCCTGAAATCTGAATTTCCTTTCTCACTGTCAACAGACTGTAACCCAAAAATTTTAACAGAAAAAAACTTGTGCTTCCACATAGACAAAGACTTGACAAGAGTCCGCAGCACAGCTTGCAAACGGATATGTTTTATTTCTAACGCACTGTATCATTTAAATGTCTGTGGAACTCCAGAATCTGGAAATTACTTTTGCAGTCCTGTATTTTGTATTGGTAACAGCAATTTCTCTCCAAGGTTCACCCTTAAAGTTTCAATTACCATCAACTCACTCTAATTTCTTTATGCTACCTAAAAGAATTTGCTAAGCCATTGACTGAAATATAACATTCAGTAGTTTCTAAAGCCAACAACATGCCCCAACTAAGCAAATGTTTTTGTAAACATAGCTTACATTTTGTTAAATTTAACTGTAACAAAAAGTACTTAAGTTCTAGAATACCAAGGAACCATCACTGAAAAGTACCACAATGTTACACACTGGAAAAAAAAAATATTTTCCATTGCTTCATTGCCTTTTCCTCTTTAGTGAAAGGTCACAGACACACACACAGGAAAGAGCAGATACTGAAGAAAAGGACTTTGTTACTTCTAAAGTAACTCTTGTTTACTGGTGAGAACAAAGCCTTTATGCACAGAGCATTCTTAAAGACTGAAAAAAAACTCTTGAAGAAATTATACCCTGCTAAATTAATATCCTATGCAATACACACAAACACTATTTTCAGTGTACCTTTAACACGTTAATTATTTCACTTATTTTCCCTGTCATTCTGTCATAGATATTCTATCTGTGCAGAGTATCAATGGTATTTATCACACAGACAATCTACCCCCCCCAAAAAATCACATTAAACATACTCTTAAAAAAAAAAAACACCAACAAAAAAACCCCCAGAAACCTTTAAGACAAAATACTCATTTTTATACAATAGCACAGCACCAGCAGTAGGATTTGACAAAGTCAGTCAATAACTTCTGCTGTAAATCCTTACATGTGCTGCTGATGTAATTTTGCTATTTCTTTTTCAAAGTCTTGAGGCTGGCTAGGGATGAAAGAATAGTCTGAGAGGTAGCCTGGCAAGTTTTCTGAATGGTTGTAGTCTCCCAGCTCGGCTAAAATATTAAAAAGAGAGGTTATTGTTTATCACTGATGTACTTGGCATTGTGCAATGCCCCCAAATTCACAAGAGTCTGCTCCCACATACTTTATGATCTACAGCAAACAAAAATAGAGAAGACATTTGAACTCCCCTTTTCCCTTTTGCATAAACAGTCACATTCTCAGTGAATACCGTGGAGATCATTTAAAGAGAGCTTTGAGTAGGTACTTATGAAGGAAGTTTATGAAGTGTTTAGTTTTTAATACACAAATTAATACATAAATGCTCTCATAATGGCTAGCACTAAGTAATATACTTCAAGGTATTTGATTTTTTTCTTTTCCTATTTTACCTTTGCTCGCTTTCATGTGATTAGACTTTAACACTACAACTGCTATTTCTTCATGAATATCTGCAAAACCCACCAACTCATTCTGTACCAAGATATATTCAGAAGCATTAGAAAAATATTTTTTTGCACATTCAATTGTATGTATGGAAAAAAGTACACATACATACAACTACATTGAAACTACTTCGCTTGAAACTAGTAAAAAGTGCATTTACATAATTTCTAACACCTTCTTAAAATTATAAGAAATAAATTAAAATCACATTTATTTTCAGAATAAGAAACATACAACAACAGTTGCAAAAAATACAGGCTTTGAGGCTTTCTAACTATAATCCAAAAAAAAATCAGCTTTAAATATCTGTAATCCATGTAACAGACCTACAGCGATAGATAAACAACGTAACGTGAAAACTGGAAAGTTCACAGCAACACTACATGACGTGGGGTCTTGGGCAGGCCTACTGACAGTTTTATGGGGCATGGAAGAACTGACAAGAGGGATGAAGGCACTCGTGGAGCGGGAGGATAAGCAAGGGAAGGGAAGGTAGGAAAGAAGTCTGGGGCACTTGCACTGCCAGAAACAGATCCTATTTTAAATAATTTTAAAATTGGAAAACGGGACCAGGTTTCGTAACAGAGTACATGCCTTGCTAAAGTCTGCTACAGAGAATACAGGACTGTCTGATAACTACATCTGCTGTTTACCTATATTTATAAAGAATCCCAAGAGCTAAACCCAGAGAGAGTTTAGTAATAGGCATGCACAGAAAATTATTAGACACGGGTCTGCACACTGAAGAACTTAAGGGCAGTGGGATATCACATGTAAATGTAACTACAATTCACTGTGCATACTCACCACTTTTACAATATTTGAAATATAAAAATATTGCATTATTAATAGCTGAAAATGTTATAAACTTTTCACAGTGCCTGCTTCATTATCAAATACTTCATCTCTTCTAAGGCAAATACCTAAAGCATGCAGCACTTGCAGTACATATCTATTTCCAAGTAGCTGGAGTTTGGGAGTTTTAAGACAAATTGCTCTATTGATTGATCTGGAAAAAGGTGATCACTTATCAAAACTATGCATTAAAAAATTACATTAATACTTTCATACATTTTTCCCTGAAAAAATTAATATGGACACTACTTCTCTGGTATGTACAAAGTATACAAACTACTAAATGAAATGTAGATATAAGTATCTTTAATAGTAGAAAACCACATGAATATAGATGGATGTATCAGGATTGCCTATAAAACTGAATTTCTGACAACCACAAGTTTCAAGAACTAAGTGCTGAACAGTCTTTTAGTTGGTTGGTTATTGTGGGTGTTTGGGGTTTTTTTTCCCACTGAACAATTTAAGCTTATGGAAGAAAATGGGGAGAGAGGAAGACAACTAAATCTCAGTCTTCAAGACTTATGTACTCACTTGATGGTTTAAAATTGACAACACAGGTATTGAACTTTTTGGCTAGATATAACCAGAATTCCCTTTTCCACACCTATTTGGAGGTTCACTATATGGTATGTTAAAAATGTTTACATGTTTAAAAAATGCTTTAGTATCTCTCAAAGGAAAAAACCCAACCACACACTTCAGAATACAGAGAAATACAAGAGGGTTGCTTTGGGGTTTTTTAACTGCATGGGTCTAAAGAAGGAAAGCAGAGAGTTACCAGTATTTTTTCTGTATCTAATTCAGCAAAACATGCTGGAGGAGAAAAACCAACCAACTATATTTCCTTAATCATGAGAAAAGTAGCATTCACGTCCACAAAAATCACCATATAATGCAATACCAACTACATTCTTTAGAAACTAATCAATACTGCTTTTTATGTATTTCAGGACTAACATACACAAATACTAATTATACTTACATTGAACAGCATAGGAAGCCAGAAGAGCAGCAGTATTATAAGGACAGGGCAATCTGTTTTGTTTTTAAAATGAGAAAAAACTAAAATTACATATTTTGTATGAAATTTGGTTACTTTAAAAAACCTGATCTTTCATAGCCTATGAACAAATTGAACAGAAAAATTATTATAAACACTCCTACTTGCATAAAATGTGATTTATTTTAACTGTTTTTTCAGGTGAAATCCCCATCATTAAGTTTTTCTCAACCAAAGGTGCATTTAATGTTTAACACAACAAAAATATCTTACCTTCCAGTAAGAATGTCCTGTTTAATTTGCAAAAAATACTGGTACCTTATTTGAAAAACAAAACAAAACAAAACACACTATAATTAAAAATAAAATTACTTAACCATTTCAATCAGTTTAATGCATTTTGCTTTCAGTTAGTGCAAAACTCAAACTTTACATTTTGCATGCTATTTCTTAAACTCCTCTGGGAAAGAAATCAAACTGAGAGTAGTAAAATAATAATATAACTTTGTAAATTAAACTAGTTACAGGCTATGAAGTTATACATTATATTTCACTAAAAGGCTGCAAATTTTACATTCTACCTGCTTTATTTTCAGTATTTATGTTGAACTTAAAGTTTAAAAAAAAGGACAAAGTGCCTTCATGATGAATGAGCGTGAATAACAGAACTATTCAATATGGCAACTAAAAGTTGAAGTTTGCATCTGTGTATGAAGGTACCTTAATAAGAATGATTTGTACTCCAGGTAGATAAAATTAATTTATTCTCACAGAATATTTTATATTACTCTGTTTTCATTTAAATTAAATAATAACTTTTAGTATTTTGGAGTTACATTATTAAATAAAAGTTGACAATTCTATTATGTCAAACACCTTCCACTTGACTTCCCTTGAACTTCTGAAGTTTTCTTTTATTATGATGCAAGAAAAGCTTGTTTTAGAAATTCATCTAGTCTTCCCATGCCCACTCTTTTCAAGTCAGGAAGGAGATGGAAGCAGCAAAAGGAACAGATGAACACTTTAAAACAAGAACTATTTCCCACCAAACAATGGCAGCAGAAACACTATGACTTAAAAACCCCAACAAACGCAAAACTGCAGATATCCCTCTAAATTACTTCCTTTTTTTTTCTCCAACAAAACCCAAATATTTTGTTCATGTCTCAGAATGAATCTTTTGTTTAAATTTAGTTCCTTCACATTTCACTCAAAGGTTTTAGACAACTTCAAAGTAGTATAAATGCTTATATCAAGTGGCAAATCACACCTGCTGTAAACCTCCAATGACTTCCACTGAGATTGAAGTGGGGTAACAAACAAGACTTAGTGAGATGGCAGAATGTTAGCACAAGCTTAAACTTTCAGCAAAAACCCCTTAAAACAGGGCATAAAAGCAACTGTAGAATTTAGGCTCTAATGCCTTTTTATTTAAAAAAAAGTTTCACTGAGTGGAAAATTTAAACATAACACCTGCTTTTTTATAAATTTGTTCTGGTTTGGGACCTCCTACGTTGTTGTTGTTATTATTATTAAAGTCATAATTATAAAAATCATCTGGTTTCCTTCTTGTAGTTCTGATTTGAAAGTAGAGTCAGCCATACCATTCATTATAAACACTCATCAGAATTACTTATCAAAACCACCTAGTTCAAGTTTGACTGAAACAAAACATTAAATATTTCCCAATATTAACTTGCACCACGAAATTAAAAACAAAATATACCAATTCATGACACATAATATGACTTCCCATAATTGTGTAGTCTTCAGAAAGTGGATTAATTACTACTTTAAAGACTTCCACAAACATTTACAAATATACACACAGAAATCCAATCACTTAACAAGCTAAATGTACTGGAAAGGTAAAGCATTCCGTGTTTGAAAGAAAATGAGGGAAAGCACTTGCAAACTGGCAAGCAAAGACGTCAGTCCATGAGCTCAACTCCTACAAAACCTCCTAGAGGTTCTTTAACTGAGCAGAATGGCAAGAAGCTTAGTTTAAGGTATTAACCTCAAGAAGTTAAACTAAGACATTGTCCTGGCTTTAGAGACCTCAAAATACTTTTTCATTTTCCACCTTAAAATGCATATTGAAATCAAGAGAGACAGATAAAGCAAAATTTCTTTACTTGTTAAAAAAGCAATAAATGACAAGTTAAATTTATATATTAAAAGGATATGCTTCACATGTTTAGCTTGAGCACCTCTTCACAAATATACCGAACAAATCAATTTTTCCTATTTTTCCTGTTAGCATTTATGGCTGCAAAAATGCAGGACAAAAACATTCTGTATGTGCAGCTGCACCTTTTTTTTTTTTTTTTTTGGTGTAATGCTTTATTACAAGTATTCCATGGTACTTAAGGGACCTCATGATTAAGGAACACCAAGCAGAGTTCATTTTCTGTCCAGTGTTTTCAGCAAACAGTGAAGTTAATCGCTTGTTAGCCAACCACCTCACTTTGAACACAGAAGCCTCGCATATTATTGAGCAAAATGGGAAATCAATAGAAGCTTTAGCAATGTAGATCTGAAAAAGCCTGCAAAACAAATTCAGCTAAAACAATGAAGGTGGCATTGCATTACAGTGTTTTCATCTTCCTTATCTCTCTCTCTAGAAAAGGGTAAGACACAGTTATTGGTAACTGGAGTCAACATTAATAAGCAAGTCTTTCTGCCATGAGCAGAACTAATGAAGCCCCATTTCTGACCCAGACAAGCTCCTAAAGTTAAACTCTCCAACACAAGGTGAGCTCCCACTGACCTTTCCTGACCTGGGGCATTTATAACCTTACACGAATTTGCAGAGGTCTAATAAGACATGAGCTTGCACTGAACCTTTCCGTGATGTCTATTCATACTGCTTCACATATTGGCTCATTCCTCTTTTTTCAAGAAATTTCTAAAAACTGAGCGTCTTTGAAAAGTCTCACTTTGAGCTGGAATTGTCAGAAGTTTGTGTTTTGTTTCTTTTCTTAAGTAAGGGGCAAATACCAATTACATGAAAGGACCCCATATTTGTGACATGACATCCTACTTCATTCCAAAAAACCCCATGGATAAAACTCTGTCTATAATAATTCCAAAGACAAACAAGTTTTCTCAGGGGCAATTAGGCCTATTAGCAAAAAAGGCAAGAGTTGACCTAGATACAGCAATCATACATTACTTCTAATCTAAAAGGATGCTGTATTTATAGCTTTGTATTTACAACATAACATTTAAAGAAAACAGTTCTCTCCTTTACTGTTTACTTCACATTGATCAATGTTTACTTTTTTTTTCCCCATCTCCTTAGGAATATTAACATATTGTCCTTTAATTCAAATAACACATTTTTCATTATTTGGATATAGCAAATTGCCAAATTTTCTCAGAGTAAATATTTCAATAAAACAAAGCCTGATCCAGGATTTCTGAGACTGATTTTAGTACATTCTGTCTGCATAGATGTGTGTAAGATTTTGCCCAAAATATGACAAATCAAAAGCAATTATAAACAAACGTGGACTCAAACTTTCACGGTTTTGGTACTTATATTTCTAAAGCTATCCTTAATAATTTAATATTGTTTTTTGAATGGGGCTGACCTGTTTTCACAATGGCTGACATCCAAAAATTCCAATCTGTCAAATCATGCGAGTTATGTAGAGGAGCAGAACTAATTAAGAATACTGAAAATTTGAGGCATTTCTTCAGGGACTAATTGCAACTCACAAGCCTCCTATCTTGATTCACACTGAGCATTTTCTTCAACAGACTTCAACATACTGCTATCAAAAAAAGCTTGCATGCTTCAAGCTCGGACTACAACCGTACAAACAGAGATTAATTTTATTAGTGACAAGCAGAAAATTTGGTGGGGGGGGGGGAAGGGGAGTTGTCAAGAAAAAAATGGAGAAAGCTCAGGAATTTCTTAATCACAAAGGAGAACAAAAGTAAGGATAAAATTAAATTTGTACTCATTGGTGAACAGTGCGATTAACTTTTTCCTCTCTTCTCTATTTTCCCTTTTCTGTTTCTACTTGGTAGTACTTTCTTCATGTAGTTACTTCACTTCGCATATAAAATTGTAAATTTATTCACAGAGGCTTTTTGTTATACTGATTTGATGTAACTGCATAGTTCATATCTGTAATTATTAGGCAAAAATTAGAAGCTTGCACATATGACAAAAATTATTTAAAAGAAAATTTCCATGTTATACCTAAAAAAAAATAATGATAGTTTTCCCCTTAAACATAAGCCTTCTAGAAAACTGTTTTATTGATAAATTTAGTAGACCTACCTTGTATATTCTTCTTGGAGCTTGTTTGGGTCACTTACAAAAAACTTAACTCTGAAGTTCAAACTGTGAGGTGATCCTCCTACAGTCAAGAAAAGTTATTTCTAATTAATCAGGGTACCCTGGAAAAACAGCATAATAACAATATATGAATTGACCAAATACATACATGTACTCACTTTTTAATTGTTTCCTGATAGGTTTGTTTGGATCCAACCACCTCTGGAAAAAGACAAATTTTAACACCAACTTTAGAGAAACAAAAATGTACAAATTATAGCCTTATACATTAAGTAACTGTTGGTTTTCCATTACTTTTTATTTGGTCTTTTACCAAAATGTCTTACTGGCATACAAAGTCTTCTTACTGATTCTGGAAAGACACCAACATTATCATCAACAGTAGCTACTGTTCTTCTTTCCCTGAGATTAACCTCTTGTCCCTTGGAGGAAGGGGCAGGCAACCAAAGAAGAGTACAGGGATCTTGTCAGGTCATGCAGAGAGGAAATTAGAAAGGCTAAAGCCCAGCTGAAATTTAACCTGGCCACTGTTGTAAGGGTTAATAAGAAAAGTTTTTATAAATACATTAACAGCAAAAAGAGAGCCAGGGAGAACCTCCATCCTCAGGTGGATACAAAGGGGAACATTGCCACTAAGGATGAGGAAAAGGCTGACATACTTAACGCCTTCTTTGCCTCGGTCTTTAATGGCCTAACAAGTTATCCTCAGGGTACTCGGCCCCCCAAGCTGGAAGATGGGGATGGTAAGTGGAATAAACCCCACATAATCCAGGAGGAAGCAGTTTTTGACCTGCTATGCCACCTGGACGTCCACAAGTCTACGGGGCCAGATGGGATCCACCCAAGAGTGCTGAAGGAGCTGGCAGAGGAGCTGGCCAAGCCACTCTCCATCATTTATCAGCAGTCCTGGATAACAGGGGAGGTCCCAGATGACTGGGAGGTTGGCAAATGTGACGCCTATCTTCAAGAAGGGCCGGAAGGAGGATCCGGGGAACTACAGACCTGTCAGCCTGACCTCAGTACTGGGGAAGATTATGGACCAGTTCATCTTGAGCATGCTCACCAGGCATATGGAGGACAATCAGGGGATCAGGCCCAGCCAGCATGGGTTCATGAAAGGCAGGTCTTGCCTGATCAACCTGATTTCCTTCTATGACCAGGTGACCCACGGGGTGGATGAGGGAAAGGCTGTGGATGTTGTTTACCTGGACTTCAGCAAAGCCTTTGACACAATTTCCCACAGCATTCTCCTAGAGAAGCTGGCAGTTCATGGCCTAGACAGGTGTACTCTTCACTGGGTAAAAAGCTGGATGGATGGCCGAGCCCAGAGAGTTGTGGTGAATGGAGCTAAATCCAGTTGGCGGCTGGTCACAAGGGGTGTCCCCTAGGGCTCAGTTCTAGGGCCGGTCTTGTTTAATACCTTTACCAACAACCCGGACGAGGGCATTGAGTGTGCCCTCAGTAAGTTTGCAGATGACACCAAACCAGGTGGGAGCGTTGATCTGCTCGAGGGGAGGAGGGCTCTGCAGAGGGACCTGGACAGGCTGGATCGATGGGCCGAGGCCAACTGAGGGAACTGGGGTTGTTTAGCCTGGAGAAGAAGAGGCTGAGGGGAGACCTTATCGCCCTCTACAACTGCCTGAAAGGAGGCTGTAGTGAGGTGGGGGTCAGCCTCTTCTCCCTGGTAATGGGCAATAGGACATGGGGAAATGGTCTGAAGTTGTGCCAGGGCAGGTTTAGGTTGGACATTAGGAAAAATGTCTTCACTGAAAGGGTTGTCAGGCACTGGAATGGGCTGCCCAGGGAAGTGGTCAAGTCCCCATCCCTGGAGGTATTTAAAAGACAGGTAGATGAGGTGCTTAGGGACATGGTTTAGTGGTGGGATGGCAGGGTTAGGGTAACGGTTGGACTTGATGATCTTAAACGTCTTTTCCAACCTAAACGATTCTATGATTTCATATCTGCCTCTTACAGTACTAATTCGACTATGACTTGGTTCTATGACAGTCACGTGAGCCTGAGAGAGGTTAGAACTCAGTTATGGTGTGTTTAACAATCTTCAGCTACTCTTTAAACTGATTATCTAAAGTGAACTAACTGTGGCAGTGAAAAGCTATAAAGAGGCTAATTTACCCAACTCAGAAGTTAATTCATTTAAACTAGTTCTAGTACTTTTGACTATGCATTTTGCAGGTCTGACACATCCAGGGAAGGATCCCACTGGCTCACAGATTCTCTTAAAATTGTCAGCCTGAGTGTCATCTCTGGTAAATGGCTAATTGGAATCTTGGAAACCAGAGGCTCAGCACTCAGCCTACTGGATTAAGAACTACAGAACAATTTTACCAAACAGTGCCCAATCTTCATCATCTCTATGGGAGAATGGTGCTGTGGAGAAGTACAGACAGAACTTTATAAAAATCATTGCTGCAAATTTTGGAGAGGAATATGGTTCTCTGGAAAGCCCTAGTTGTTAAACAACAAGTTGTTTAAACCACTCCCCACCAGCAACCCAGCAGACTCTGCACATACCAACATAGTTCAGTTAACTCTTAAGTCTATCTTTTTCATAAATACTGTTCAATTCCTCACCCTGCCTTGCAATGCAAGCCTGCAAGCCTCAGGAAATGGTTACATGGCCACATTCCTATGAAGTGACAGAGACCTAACCCTGTATGGCATGTAACTGTGTCACATTTATCACAGGGCTTTTTATTTTGTTCATGTGAGGGAGGAGGAAGCAAACACAAAGAGCTACCTGAGCTATCTGACACACACTATGGATCTGAAGTTAGTTCTGAATCACTTTATTCATCGGGAATAACAAATAACGATGACTACATCCAAAAGCTGTATCCTTGTAGTAGATGACTTAAGAGGAACTAGAGAGAGTGTTTGATACAGCTTAGAGTGTGATTATTTCTAAGAAAAGGATCAATTAACTTTTAAGACCAAATGTAAAGGCTTAAGGAAGTACTTTCCAGCCAGGGATACACATTAATTTTATATAAGAATCTTTCAAAACATGGTAAAAGATTCTTGAGTACCTTTAAGCAAGGGGCTATGATCCAATATATCTGATAAATGCACAGATCTGACTGATAATCACTCTTTTTTTTTTGTGGGAAGTACTGTTTGAGGTTACAGTTAATCCAGAAGACCTGCAATTGAAATGCCTAGCAGAAAAGCTTGCATTTACATTGCCTTCTGGTTGTATGGTATGTACTAGCATAGCTCAAATCACAGAAGTGTAACTTTTTTTTCAACCATATTTAACAGGCAATATTCATGTTTTCAAGCGATACCATTGGATCCAAATTCAAAATGTGATTTTCTCTCAGAAACTGCAGAGCGTTAAACCACTTAATATTGTAAAGAAGCTGAAGTTGACAGGATTTAGGCAAAAGTAACAGAATTTTATGAATCAAGGTGCTGCTAGCAAGACATGTTATACTATTTACATCTCAGTAAGTCTGAGAGGCAGACAGATTTAGGGATCCATGAAGTTTGTATTCCAGTCCCTTGGAGAGTCATTTCTGTACCCTCTTCTCCCCCAGTGATGATCCCTGCCTCACTGCCTCCTGCCAAGGGTACTCCAGCACCCACACTGACAGTATTTACTGCACCCTCACTCCCACTACACACCAATACCCCCTTCTCAGCATTGCTCCTGGCATCCAGTCCCAAGACCCTAGCCAAACACACCACACCAGCTGTACACAGCATCAATGTTTTCTTGCATTGACTTTTACTGTGACATTAATATTATACAAAAACATAAAGCTTGTGCAGTTTATGAAATCCACGTTTAGGCACAAATAGAGAGGTTTCACAGTCAATTAGCAGAATCCCCTTTTCCCCATGACCTTTATCTCTTGCCATATTGACTATATCTTAGTAATATTCCGCTGTGTTATTTCACAAGTAACTAGAATTATTTGTCAATCCAATCTAGTTTCTTTGTCCAAATTGACAGAGTGTAAAAGAAAACTGGTATCAAAAACTGAAACTGGTCAAATCCATAAATTCTCCAAGCTTACATGACTAATACTGGTAACATTTCTATTTAGCTCTGACACACTGTTTTCATGGCAACTAGATGTGCTGAAAAGCCAAAATATTTAGAAGTCAAAGAATACTAAACTTTTAAAGCATGTGCTTATATCAAATAGGTGTGAAGTCATTCTTCTTTTGGACTAACTCTTAACCAGATCCTTCTATTACAATGTTGTGTTCAGCTGCATCCAGATAGATTAAAAAAAGAGAGCTTAGAGGTCTAAGCTCTGGAAAGCCAGACAAACGAGAAAACACTACAAATTTCTATATGTTCAGCAAAATATTGAGTGATATTCAACTAAATACTTCTCAAACAAAGCTGAAAAATAATTCAGCCTTTTCTACAGCATGCCTATGTCTTTTCAGCCTGGAAACAAAGTTTAGAATAAAAAGATTAAATGAGGCCAGCTTGCCAATGTCTTAACAGAACTCTCCACAAACTTACAAAAGAAAACTTTGTTAAATATCTACAACTATGCTATACAGCTTTATTCATATTAATAATCTTAATGTTACCAGAATTTAGAAAAAGTATATAATTAAGACTAATTTGCTCTAGAGAAGAAAGAAATGTGGAAGTAGTTCGTTATTCAGGCAGAAGAAAAATTATGGCTGTACTGTGACTTCTTTCTTCCTCTTCTACATTCAAAGACATTGAAAGTAAGTAAAAAGAAAAAACCCAACCTTTTAGTAAGGTAAAAAAAGTATTCCTTCTATTTAGAACAGTCACTCTTTATGGTAAAACAACAGTAGACCAAACCTGCACTTCTCAAAGAACACTGCACTATATTCTGAAATTCACCTTAGTTACTGAATGATTAACACTTTACAGTGTCATTTATCTCTACAGATCACATTCTGCACATTTTGTGATTATTACAGAAATTACTTTTGACACACAAGTTGGAGATATATTTAGACCTCATCACTGTGACATGCATATAATGGGAATTAGGTAAAGAACTGTATTATAAGGAGTAATACTTAGTTAAATTGCACTTTAAAACAAGTATTGAACATTTGATACCTATAAAAGAAAGTTTTCAACGAGTATTCTTCAAGAAATCATGATCTCAGCAGTACAGCTATAACTATTACAGCCACTGAACATTACAGCTGGATCTATCAGTTTCTACTGGTGAATTATAAAGTGATTTACAAAGTTTCAGCCCTATGGAATTTCCTTTCAATTAAAGTTCATGAACTATTATAAACACTCATTTTCAAAGGAGTCCCTTTGTTCTTCTGTTAAGGTGATGAGCCGACAGGTCTATATGAAGCACTATTAAAAGACCTATCAGGTATCTGGGCTAGAAACAAAAACACTGTAAAGGACAATCTAAAAACCTCCCATTTTTTGTTATGTCCTAATGGGGAAAAAAAAAAATAAAAGAGAATTACTGTTTCTTATCCCAACTGACAATGATCAAGCCATCTGGTAAATAGATAGAATAGAACAAGCAATATCCTTTTAAGGTATTATTTCATAAGCACAGATCTCAACATTTTACTTCAAGCTTGCGACTATTAACATTTAGTTTTATCGTAACTACAAGGTGATACTGACCCACTCAAATCACACAGTTCAATAAAATTGCACAATATTGCAATGGCTCCTATTTACTTCTCTTTACAATGACACAGAGCACAGTGATGAACGTGATTATGATTTATAAAATTGTGTTTATAAAACAGAGACAACTTACAGGGTTATCAGTAGATTCATCAGCCAACTGTAAACCAAAGTAATCTCTCTCTGTCAAATCGAGATGCTTGAAGACTACATCCAATAGAACTTGTCCCTGATCATGTTTCTGCAGAGAACAAATACACATATTGTTTAATGAACAAATATATAATCAGACACACAGATTTCAGGCAGGCAGAGCACATACACATTCTTTCAGATATGCCCTAGAAGCCCAAATTTTAAATATCACAAAGTGTACCCCAGGAGCACTATTTTTAAACGAGCTTCATCTCTCTTTTTGAAACATACGTAAGGAATTATTTTTCCTCTTTGTCATTTTCTCACAGTAAAAATTTCTCACTTCAGCTAGCTACATGATTATTCCTGAAAGCCATTCATCAGCCAAATGTGATATTTAAAAGGAGTACTGAAAAAAAGAAAAAGAAAAGAAAAAAGGCTAGGATTTGACAAAGAACTTCGTAGCCTTGTTTGGGTCACTGAATTTAAAAGTACAGCTCTGTACAATTTATTCTTACTTATTTTATCCAAAAACCTATTCTTGATTCTAAATGGACCAGCATGTTGAAAATGTTTCCAAAGTTAAATGGCACAGACACCTGAAGCAGCCAAATATCTAACTGAGAAGTGATGTTTAAATCCATTATCTCAACAGGTACTACTTTACTCTAAATGAACTAATTAAAATGAACTGAATAACAGAAACATGGCTTTTCAGAGACAAGTGAACAAACTTGATTTCTACTACAGTGACAAATCTTACCCACAAAATGATATTAAAGGAATCTGTAATTGTTGGTACCTAGCAATTTCTTGCCTAACCTGAAAATACTGCCAACACAGTAATTGAAACGCCGAGTGTGCCATTATGACAGGACTCAATAAATATATCTGAAGGGAGTTTCCCAAAGAAGTTAAAGTCTCATAGCTGCCTGAAGTACAAAAGATGAGGAAAAACTCTGTAAGAACAGCTGTCAAACAAACAAAAAGTTGAAAGAGATGATTGATACAGTTTCCACCCAGATTTTCGACCTCTCTGGCACCAAGCAAGCTTCTTACAGTCTTCTAGGTGCCAAGTATTATCGATGCTACAGTGGATTTGATACGTCTTGCCTTTTTTACTGTAGGCAATAAGATATTTTTAAAGTTTTGAAACAAAAAACCTGCTGTTCTGCTCTCTTCTCATAGAGATTATGCAACAGTTTACTTTTACAGCTGTTAAAACAGGAGTATAAGTGCAAAAGAAGATTGCAAGAATTTCATTAATATCCATACACAACAAAACTCTACAAATCACATTCAAAGATTCATTAATATCTATGAGCATCCTATCAAAACTCATTTTTTGATCAGCTGAAATTACACTGAAGTTGAGTAAACTGTCAAAACCATTTATTGAGAGCTAGAAACTCCAAGAAGCTTGATAATTTATTTCATAACATTAAAAAAAAAAAAAAGAAAATAGTTATCAACGAATTATGCTTGAAATGATCCCAGTAGGACAATCATAACCATAGCTCTGTGTATTTAAGTTGAAATTACATAAGGCATATATTTCAGGTCCCATATAAATTAGGCTGAGTTAAAGTGATCTCAGAATTGCTATATTTTTTATATATATAAAATTTTATTTATATATATTATACATTTATAATGTATATTATATATTGCTATGTATAGTTGCTAAAAACAAGCAAAGAAAAAAAACAGATGTTAACATAATTAACACAAAACAGTATAAATGCATAAGGCAATTTTTATATGCAATCCAAAAATAGTCCCTTTATTTTTACTAAATTAGGAGTTTCTGATGTATTTTGAAATAAACCCATAATCAGTATAATATTTTCAGCAAATAAAGCTAATTTTAAAATTACATAGCAACACTAATTGCTTCTTGGCATTTTTCCCCATGTAGATTTAAATCAGAACTCAGACTAAGAACTTAAGACAGTAACTATCAGAAAAGGGGAGACATTTGGAACCCAAGCGTAGGCTTACATTTAGGATAGCTGACATGTTACTTCTTCAAATAACATGCAGATATCAATTCTGTAGCTTTTTTCCAGTCTAAACCTGAGAATTTATACTGTTTCTTACAAATATGAATAGATGTTTCCTAACAAAAAACCATAGAACTTGCTGATCAGTTTGAATTCAGTAATACAGAACATCATTTCACGATGGCAAGGAAGGTATTTCTCCAGCAACAGAGCAGCTAATTTGATAAGAGAAGACTGGTATCAACATGAACCATTTGTTTTGATCACAATGTTTTACTCTCAGTGCAAACTAAAGATAAGCATCTAGTAAAACCAGACCTCGGTTTAACCCATCTCTGGTATTTATATAATGATGTTGCAGCTTGCCAGAGCAGGTGAAGGTCACAATTGTGTTTGTTGTGAAAGGTCCAAAATATTTGTAATACTATCGTAACCACTGAATAGCAGCTATAAATTATAAAAAGTACAAGTTTCTACTTTTGCTTTTTTTAATAAAAAGTAAAACCAATAAATGTGGGTTAGAAAGAAACTTGCTTTATACTTTCAGACAAAGTTAAAAATTAATATTTTCTCTTAAAACAGGGAATAATGGAAAAATATATGAAAAATGGGAACTATCTAACATAAAACTGCAGTAGTTAGATAAAAAACATATCAATATTTTTTCTGAATTGGAATATTAGAATGTTATGCATACTTCTTATTAGTTATTGTTGGAGGCAAAATATCTAACAAATTTTGGCCTTTCAGAACAAATTTAACATCAACACTAGACATCAATATATTAATTGCACTTTACAAAGTATCTATCATCTAGTGACTAACATCTAGTACCACTAAATAGATACACAATTTCTAATTGCAAAATGATTGTTAGCTGTTTACAAACGCCCATGTTTGAAAATTCAGGAAAACATCCACAATTATATAGGTCTAATGCCTGCTTACCAACTATCACCACCATCTGCTCCATTTATACTACTGACATTCTGGTTTTGTTGCTGGCCTACAGAACTGGCTGCAGCTACGGCAAGCACCAGGAGGTATTGCTGCCATGACAGTCCACGCAGATCTGGAATTCTGATGAGAGAGGAATGGGATGACAGGTCCCGGGGCTTCACCGGAGAGGAGTCAGACAGCTCTGCTGCTCACAAGTCTGTGAGAGGCTACGCTTGCTGCTCCTTTGCTATTGACAGCGCTGGAACCTCTCCTCTCGCAGCCCACCACAATACTTGTGTGGCAACCTGAGCAAGCTCATCCCCAAACAGCCAGAGCTGCACTACCATCTCCTTTCATTCTACATCTTACATGAGCTTTGCAAAAAGTTATCTTGTTTTTAAAAAAGTTACCAAGCAGGCTATTTATTTTTTTTTGGTCAATGAAAAAGGGAAGCAACTGAGTAATGCTGAAGATTCAATTATTGAAAATTTTCACTTCTATAATCACAGGGGGGTTGCTGTCAGGGTTTTTTGTTTTGTTTGGGGTTATTTTACATATTTTTAGATTTTACTTCTGTTAGAATATAAATTCATTAACTCTGAGGATAATTCTGAGATAATAAAGGCTTCAAATTGCAACATTTGTCCATGACCGGCTAATCCACTAGTCTTGTTCACAGAACTCATCCCATCTACCTTGACTTAGTTTTCCCTCAAGTTTAGTGTGATCTCCATATCTATGTATCAGCTTTCAGGGAATACAATTAAGTCAGCCTGCACAGAAAAGATACAATTTGAGGTATTTAAACAATTAATTAAAACCAATTAAAGCAATTTGATCGTGAAGAAGCAGGTTTATGGTAATGCAAATCATCCTGATCACATTATTAACTCAAGTCGGCCTCACTTCTTCCAGCTACGCTTTCTATTAAGTATGCTTTTCAGCGTGGAAGTAGGAGTTCTTTATTTGGTAAGCAGAGCATTTCATGGAGAGGATTGCTACTCTTCAAACATATGCACAGGTTAGTTCCAACTGATTCTTCTGCCTCCAACCAAAATAACCTTTGTCTGGCTACAATCTACAGGGATTATTTGATTTTATTTGTTACACTTTACACAAGGTAAGGCTTTGTAGCAGATCAATGGAAAAGGCTGGTTGAAATGTGAACTTAGAACACGTCACATAAATTATCAAGAGACATTGTCTGTGATCAGTACTTTTCTGTTGCAGAAAAACTGCATTTGAGTACATTTTATTAATACAGCACTGCATACTCCAGATGATTAAGCTTTACAATCATTATCATACAGAATACCTATAGCAATCACCAGGAGAAAAAAAAACCTTGCTAATTTATTTGATGTTATCTTTGTTCTTCCTATTTTGAAAACAATTCCATAAATATTTATTGCCAAGTATTGTGTCAACCACAATAAAGTAAAACACAGCTATAAACCCTGAAAAGCTGTATACCTTGTAGGTTAGCATATATTTGCTATGATTGAATATTTATTACTCCCTATTTTGAAAAAATAGATTGAGGTTAAGACCAGGGATCAAAATGTTGAGCATCAAGGGACTTTTTTATTCCCTAAACTCAGTTTTAGTAGACAAACTTGCAGGCTGATCTATATAAGCAGTAAAGCGTGATCCATGCAACTAAAATATTTAGTACGCTAGGGAGGTGGCAGGAACATATTGCATAATTATTTCTTGGGAGAGACAGAATAGACATTTGAGTATTTATAACCGGTGATTCTACTCTAGACAGGCACTAGCATTCTCTAACAACGTACAGCTTTTGAACACCTAGATCAAAAAGAAGCATAACCTCCCATACCTATTGTACAACAATTATTCCTTATTTTAGCCAACTCTTATAAACAAACAATAAACTGCAAGACAGATATTTTAATGGAAAACTCCTGCACCTGAAAGCAGAGAACACAACGTTTACAATTTCTCATGCACTTTGAATGCTTTGTCTCCAATTACATTCTGCACATGCTACTTTTTGGCAGGCAGGATAGACCTGTAAGCAAGGATAAGAAAAATATGAGATACAGAAGAGCAGTGGAATATTGTAGAGAAAAAGGGGAAAGGTATGTAGGAGAAATTATCCCAGAAAGTAGATGAGGCTTGATGTTGATAAATTAAAGTCTTTGGCCATCCCTCCCCCAGCTCCATCATCCAAAATTCGCACCCTTAACTACTCAGAAGTCCTGAAAAGTTAAAAAGTTCCTGAATTAAGTTCAAAACCACTTTAAGATAACATCCCAAAACCTTGTATCTTGAATGAAAAATCTTAAAACAAATAACCACCCAGTCTACCTCTCAATCTTAAGCCACTTGACACTGGATCCTTGCAAGTTTTTGCTAGATAACAGAGATTTCACTCCTCTGATGGGCAGCTGCAGGCTGCACAGGCTTTAACCACCTGATTACAGAATACAGGAATGCAATCACTCACAAATCTTCCCTAAAACATTAAAATGTATCAATATCTTCACTAAACACTGGTTATCAGAATCAAATATAATTACTGAGCATTACAAATTTTTCAAATAAATCAAATTAAACTTGTTCACATAGATTTGAGAACTGCTTCAGTTTCTCCCTCATTTCCCAGCTGAAGTCCCACAGCCTTTTTTGATATCAAGCTACTCCTTCACTCCATTCACTGAAGTTCAATTTTCTCTTGAAAAACTTCAATAATCATGCCACCTGTAACTGTTACCATCACATTATTCAACTTTTTCCCACGTAAGTCATCAAGTCTATAGTTTATAAAGTAGAAGCTCCATTGTCCTGCCCCAGGACACCCCACAGCTTCTTTCCTGTTGAGTTCTGGTTCTTCTTACACAAAGGTCACTTTAAATGCTTATCTTGCAAAGTCCTTGCCTGTGGGTTTTTTTCCTCAAGATGTTGAAAGAAATGTTTGCACTTGTGTGAACATATGCACTGAATCATGAACATTTTAATTTTAACTCCTTATCAAGGATTACAGATTAGAAAATCTAATTAATAACCTATCTTAAATTCCAGGCTTATATGTAAAATTTACTGACTTTTCCCAGTAACAGTCGTCAGTATTCAGCAAACAGCTTCCTACTTTCTTTCCTGCCATCCTCATTACTGCATTAGAAGGTGGTGAGTTTAAGCAAGAGAAATTACAGAACATAATCTGAGAAAAGCAAAAAGCAAAGAGATGCTTTAAGATGATAGCTGTAACCAAATATAACCATACACATGATTGAACACAGTTAGCTACACAATCAAGAGAAGAGTCACCATTACACCTTATTCATGTTCAAAATGCAAAAACCAGACCGGAGTAAAACAAAAGCTTGCTGGTCCCTCAACTCAGTGGCAAAGCTGCCCTCCATTTCCACTACACAACTTTAGCCCATGAAGAAAATTACTAGAAATAAACTATACTTTGTATATTCAATTTTGAAATGAAGATCTGTTAGTACAATAGAGGATGCCAAAATGACTAAGTTCACAGTGACTTAGTACGTACATGTAAAGGCATGCCTGCCTGAACATAACTTCCTCTTCTTTTCCGTGCTTAACACTATTTTGAAAGTCAAACTCTGGCCATACAAGTCCAGCAACGGAAAGCAAGCTCGATGATATTGATTTGCAATAGGCAAGTTACTTACATTAACTCTGAAAGCTTGTACAGTGTTATCCAGGAGAAGAATGTTGCAGACCACCTCCGTATGCTGCCTGTCTCGTGCCAGCTCAGATGCTCGTACATTGTAGGTTCTGCCAGCAGGCAATCGGAAACGTGCGGTCATTACTGTACACACACGGTCTTTAGGCAAAACAAAAATAAAATTAAAAAAGATCAAAAAGTACAAATGCAAGAATGTCATTCTTCAAAGAAAGGTCAACACACAGCAAGTCCACTGTCAAAAAACTCCATCACAGACAAAAGAAAAATGAGTACTAAATTCATAGTATCCAATAACTAAACAATGTCTTACAAATTACAACACAACCTTATTCTAAAATACTTGGTCCTTTACTTTCTGTACATTGTCCACTCCCCTCCCTATTTTAAGGTTATTTTGGAGTTTTGTTTGTTTGCTTGTTTTTTTAAGATTCAAGACATCATTTTCACTTCAAAAACCATTGTAATGGCTGGGTGTCATGGCCACTAGTAATTAATTTCAGTGCAAAACAGCAAAAAAAAAAATGCTTACACCAAAAAGCTTTATAGAGCAAAAGCATGCAGAAAAGATACACAAAGATTTTGATGCATTATGCTGCAAAGATTCTGCATTCACTGTGTAATTAGACATGAGACTACACATTGATAACAAAACCAGCAGCATTGTTTTTTTTTTTTTAAATTACAACATGGATAGATAAAGATTTGTCAAACTACTGAATCTTCTGTCTAGGTCAATTTGATTGGATTTACATATATAGTTTGGAAGCACAAACAATTCTTCTTCTCCAAACAAGGAACTGTGCCCAACAGAAGTCTACACCCTGTGCTAAGTGCCGATAAATAAAATACAAGAGTTGAAATGTGACTTTCACTTTTTCAAACTAAGATCGTAATGATTATCCCGCAACCCCAGTCCAGCAAAGTACTTATGGCACACCTGATGCAACTAGCCCTATCCAACAATACTAGTTACTTTCTTAAGTACTTCGCAAGATCAGGGCCTGTGATTCACTTAATTACACACTCAGCAAACTATTTCTACATCCTTTGACAAGGGCGTAAGCAAACAGAAAGTTTCATAACTTAAGTAGAGAGCAAGAGTATATACTGAGATAGAAAATTAAATTGTCTTAACAAGTAGGAAAACAGATATTCTCAAAACTGAATGTAAAATGATTGATTTTTCCTTACTGTGTGAAAAATCATGAAGATATCAAAAATGTGTACACATTTGCTTCCTGTTTTGAGAGGGGTGGGTGTTTATCATGAAAAAAAGAAGAGAGAGATACAATTTAACAGAGGACAGCAAACATCCCAACAGTGATTAGAGTGCTTGCCTGGATCATAACAGGTATCTGTGCTCCAATATACACAAATGAACAGGGGTAACAAGTAAAAGATCAATCCACTCCTAAATAGTTGATAGCTTAGATACTTAGGCCCTCATGGGAAAGTGGAAGGCCAAGATCCAAGCTGCCCGTATCAGGAAGGGCTGGGAATTTGCAGTTTAACCTTCTTCCCACCGCCTGCAGCCAACCTCTTGAGTGACTGCCCTAAAAATCCCTGAGGTATTTCGCTTTTCTAGAGTACATCTTCAGCTCTTTTGGCATGACCACACATCTCAGACATAAAAAAATAATTTTGATGATAATCCATCCTTGCAAAATATTTCAGTTTTCACTTAACCAGCATTTTCAGATTAAAAAGTACTTGTTTCCTTACCAGACAGCTTTTTTTTTTTTCTTTTTTTTGCCACTCAGTCACTCTGGCTTCAGAACTGTAATGCTGTATTCATGCAGAATTACAGCAAGGTGGGTTTTTTTTGCATGACAAACTGAGAAAAGATAAAGATACCAGATAAACCCACCAGCTGCAAGCTAAACTCAGGACAGTCTCTTAATGATAAAATAATGAAAAATTGTGTTGCAAACATTAAAACTCCAAAGTAAAGCCTAACATGGAAGTATATGTCTGAGAATTCCTCATGAAGAGGCTGTTTCCACTAGGCCTTCTACAAGTCTCAAAAATAAACCTGTAACAGAGAGGAACAGGTAACTGAACCTCCATACCAGTGATGTAAGCCAACAACATAACATTTCACAAACAATATTTTATGTCACATAGACACAATCTAAAAGTCAATCACCTCACTAGCCACAATGGCGTAAAGATCAGCATCTTTATCAGTGCAGCTACACAAATAGTAACTATAGGCAAGACTTTAGAGAGGTATTTGCCTGTGAGCTGAATCAAAGAAGGTTTCAGAAAAGCATGCAAGTTGGTTAAAAACACTTTATCCACACCACAGAAACAACGCTTTGACAGGCATATTTACAAGGATTTGCATAAGTGACAAATCAACCAAGACACAGTGAGGGTTATCTCAGAGTCCTTTCCCACGAATAAAAACGCCAGTGCACAAAGTAGGACTGTTCTGCTTTCAAATAAGTATTGCAGTCCTCACAAAACCATTCGGTAGCGACCTAGGAGGATCTAACTCAACAATTCACAATTTTGCAGCAGAAAGAAAGATTTGTTAAAGGCCAGAAACCATCATGCTTTAAGAGAACAAAAAGGCAAATCTCATTTTTCCCTCCTGTTCTCTTCCCTGTTTTTGTCTTATTTGCTGATCAAGACCGACAATGTCTTCTTTTGCTACTTTAAACTAGTCAGAAAACTTCTGTGTTTCATCCAAACAGAGCAACACATTCATAATAGTGAGCAAGGAGAAAATCTGACCTCAATTATCCTCAAAATCCTTCAATACCAAGCAATCATTCACCATGTGCTTTGACAGGCCCAACCTGCAGACCCAGCAAGGTTCTTGCTGTAACATAGTTGATCTCCACTCCAACCAAACAAAACCACTGAATAGTTGCAGACTGTGATTCGGGTCTTTCTCAATGTACATAAATGAAACTGTCAAATTTAAGAAATAGGGCACTGTATTACAAATTCGCTAAGGAAATGGGACCAGCTGTGTTGTGTCAGAAAAACAGCTCATCTAGCTTTCAGACCTGAAGGGCAATGCCTTCTCACTCTCCTTCAGGATGGAAGAAACAAATAGGACACACACATAAAGATATTTCTCACATACTGTTCCACAGTCTGGAGTTTAGCATCTTCCTGGTTTGAAGCTCATATTTACGCCATGCTGGACATCAGTCATTCATGAACACTTTCTTCATGGACTTAGAAAACCACGTTTCAAACTTTCCGGTTAGGCAATGAATATTCCCCGTCCCACATACAATGTGTAGTAGCCCTAACAGCCATCTTGTATTAGACAAGTTTCTTCCATGAAACAAAGAGGCTTTTGCACTACAGAATGCAGTTTTACAACTAAGTGTACTAACTGAAATCTTAAATACTTCTACAGAATGGAAATATAACAGCCATGAAAGTAAAGAAGAAGTGACAAAAGACAGACTATTTTCTGCAAATCACAGCCAAGAGTTATTCTTTCTCCATATGTCAGCAAAGAAACTATGGAAGGATGTAGGAATTATGTTAAAATGCCTTCACTGCCACACACTCTTGCAAAAAATACTCCTTTTAAGATCTGCCAGGGCATTACATGTAACTGCTTTGTGGCCAATCATGTGTACACAACCCATATTTACACCGCTATCAGCATACATACATACAGAAAGGACACAGTTGTTAAGCACAGACAGGCCCTGCAATTACTGGCTTTACTGTGACACACTTGTTTTACAATAATTGGCCCCAAACTGTATCCATATCATCTTTACTACTCCTTTCTTCCAGAAATACATGCACCAAGAACACAGACAGTAATATTTCTCCTAATCAAGTATTGCCATGCTCACTATGCATTTTGAAAACATACTAGCAAAACAGTGAGATGGCTAGCTACTGCTTATGAGGTTATAAATCATAGCTATCTGATTTCCCAGCAAATACTGATATGTGAATTGACCAAACTGATAAAAATTCAGCTACGCTGATTGTAAACTTCTGAAACAAAAACATCTTATAGCTAAAGTCAGTATGGAACAAATAAAGGACTGACTTCAAGCTCCAAAGTAAAACCTGCAGCTCTAAAAGAAATAGGACTAAAGACAAAAGATGAGATTCAACCAAAAAAAAAGTTTGAGAACAACTGGTTTAAGCAGCACGTTGACTTAAGCTAGGTACTACTGTGTGCATATCCGTGCCATGGACAGCACCATGGCCACTTACGATAAAAATCTTTCTATATATGCAAGTACATTATTTAAATTGGATTTAAATCATATGAATCTTTGCATATGAAGAAGGTTTCTGCTTATAATTTTTCAGCATTTTCTGCCAAGCATGTAATATTTAGACACTTGAATTAATAATCCAAAGCTCATGCTGCCACAGCAACCGGAAAAGGACAGAAATTGTGCATGAAACTCCTCTTACCTCTCAGGTCTGTGGAGGGAGCAAGTTGTACATTTCCTGCCTGAGCTCAGGTTTCAAGCGATGAAGCAATTCTAGGGAGTGTTCTCTATCGAAGGGCAGAACATTCCTGCGATACTGGCTTGGTTAGGGCATTAAAGAGCACACAGAAGCTTCTCAAGTGAATTTTCGGCATCCTCTATTCTTTTATGTAAAAGTATACAGTAAAACAATAATTTGCTTGGGCTTAGAATAAACTAACCTATTTTAAACAGCTTAATAAATAAGCAGTTCGTTAAGAAGATAATTAACTGAAATTTAATTTATCCAAGAGTGCAACTGATTCACTGACTTGAAGTAAAGAGTTCTTTAAAAGGAGAGTTTGCATTGTGCACTGTACACAAAGACAACCACCTTAGCACAGTACAGTATGCACATGTGCATGAAAGGACATGAGAAATTTCATTTTACATGGCTAACCTAAAGCAGCTAAACATTGCCAGATTTCCATTTGTTTAGAAACTGGTATTTTAGCAACCCAGAAGGCATGCATTTCCACTGTAGCCCACCTGCTGATTTGGGTCCAACATAGTACATGAATTTGCTACAAGAGGTGGAAAAGTAGGCCCAACTCATAGAAAACCCACATTCATACAACATGCTATAGCTTGAATATATTAAATAGATTACAGACCCCATGGCTACTAAAATTATTAGACGTTCCAATTAGGAGGAAAAAAAAAAATAATATTAGAAGTAGAAAGAAAATTTTGAAGGCTTAAACAGAGTAATACAACCTACCGTATTTCAAACAAACACTGAGTTATATCTAGAACCCATCTTCATATATATTTACAGAAAACATGTTAGTGAAACTATATTAAATGTTTTAACTAAAACCAGTTTGAAAATGCTAAACATTAGTTGATTGTGCACTATTTTGAGGAAAGTCCACACTAGTCCAACAAATAAAAGTTCAGATTTTTTAGCTTTCAAAAATTTTGCTTTGAAAGCTTTCAGCAATTCTGATGTAGCACACAGCTTCAGGACATTTCTTATGAATAAAATCAAGAGTAGAAATGCATTTTCATTTAAGTGAATCGACCCATGCACTACAGTCCTGAACTAGTGCCAACAACTCATACTTCATTCATTTCTTCCTGCCTTCTGCTGACCAAACAATGGTAAGTAACCATCATTATTGAAAGTTGATAAGCAAACTTTGGGTCATTTCACTTTGTCGTCACCAGGTGCGAAGGTTCACGCTAGACTTCTAGCCAGGCAACACCATCATTAATGGTTCTAGGCTCTATCAAAATCTTCTGTTTCTTTTTAAGTTTATTAGCTACTTGTAATATATAAATTATTCAAATTCATTTTGCTTAAGGAAAATCATATACTCCTGTTAAGCTATCATATGGCCATTTATTAAACTCTTCCTAAAACTTCCACTGGAAAACAGGGATATTGTATTTTTCCTGCTCAGGAAGTATTTTTCCTGCTGAGGAACTGGGAGTGACAGTGACCACACAATGTAACTACAAGCACGATTCCTTCAGTGCTACTACAGTCCCAAAGGGTTGTCAAGACAGCACTGGATACAAGGACACATTGGCATTGGAAGTTTGGAATGTAGTTTCCAAAACCTCAGCAACTTCTTTTCACTGGTGGGTAACCAAATTGTCCTCTTGTTAGCCCAGGTATTTGCATGGGGCTGGTAGCTCTGGGGCTCCAAGCTCACCCCCGTCCTCGGTCCAGGCTTCCCACACCCTTCTTTACAGCCTGGCCCTGAGCAGCCTCCACACTTCATATGCAAAACTGGTGCATCAAACTTATCTAATCTCTAGCTGCTTTTATATATTCCCTCAAGACTTTTGTTATCTGCAGGCACTCTGAGCTGCTTGATTAAATCCCTCACAGATGCAAGAAGTATAGAACAGCAAAAGAAATTCCTTCTGCAAGTATTTCACTCTTGAGAGCAGTCAAGAGCAACGCATGGACATGCCCCCAAAATGTCCCACCTGCATTTCAATGAATGTGCTACTCTTAAATCCTCGATCCTTAACCACATAAAAACCCAAATCTAACACAAGAAGCATTAATTCTTATAGTACATCTGACAGCTTCTGAAAATTTTGGGCCTGAAGTTCAACGGCTGAGAGAAAAGAAGTTAAATTCTGCCTCTCTCCTCCACCAGCAGCTTCTCCTATACACAAGCCAGTAAGAGAATTAGTATTCTATCCACTTACTCAGATAAGTTTCTAAAATTGCTAATTCATTTCGTTTTATGAACACAAGGATTTCATGGGGTTGGCTGTGGATTTCAGTACACCTAAATTAATAATAACTCTCAGTTTAAAAATTACTTGAGGACTTCTTTTAAAAAGTCCTTTTTCTTTATCAAAGACCTCCTTCAGTAATACTTTTTATCTACTACTTATCTACTACTTTGGATAGGGTTTTCAAATTTGAACAACTGCTGTGTGATACCAACCAAGATGTTATAATCACATAATTACTAATAGAGACAAAAGGTTAAAAGCTAAACACCTTGCTCTGTCACTCCCCACAACTTCATTCTTTCCAACATAAAAACATTAATTATTGAGTGTTTGGTCACTCTACACAAGATAGTGGCCAATCTGAGAAAGCTGGAAGATTTATACCAGAACACAGCAAATAAGTTTGGTAGTACTGTAGCAATCTACTATTTCATCTGAAGAATAAACTATTTTGACAATTCCCTCTCTTGCTCCTCCCTTCCCCCAAGAACAAGAGCACAGCAAGCAGAAAAGCCTATTATAAATTACACTTCTAATTAAATGTCAATACTCATTATGCTTGAACTGTATGCACAATGCTCAAAAAAAAAGCCTCTCAAATTCAGCTACTCCCTTTCTCTACTTTGGGTCTGAAGTAGGACAGTGAAGTAAGTTTAGTATCTGCTTTTCTTTGCTCCTATACGTAACATTTCAGGAAACACAAAGACAGCAAGATAAAATTCATTTGTTTGAGATTATAATACTTGCTGGCACAGTTTAGAAGTAATACTAATTAAAAATAGTAGTGCTTGGAAACCATGCCATCAACTCTGCCAATTATTTTGAACCTAAAACCTTTCTGTCCTCCCTTTCTATGCCCAGTCATTTGTCACATGAAGAAAGTAACTCTTCCATCTTCACTATCCAGGACTCTAGGGTAGATACAGCCCGAGAAGATATTAAACTTTTTTTTTTTGAGAGGAAAAAAAGACAAAAAAAAGGAAACAAACAGATTAATAAATATAGGTTCCAAACAACTCAATATGGTTAATTTTAAACCCATTTTTAAGTACAAACTTATTCTTAGTGAATACCCATCCACACCACATTACAACTGGCAACCTGATAAATGAACTGGATTTCCATAGCACAACCTTTCATAGTAAATCTGATCTCTTTTTTCAGTTTTTGACCAGCCTTCTAGATGAGGAACTGAGATTCAGAGAGGCTGAATAAATACACCCAATACACTGGAAGTCTGCAGCTAAGGAAGATCTAGAATTAAAATAGTCAGATGACTTTTTTTTTTTTTTTTTAACGCTATCCTACTTCAGCAGGTTTAACCCATTTCCCTTTCCACTGCAACAGTCTTCTTACAGGTCAGAGTGTGAATGGATGCAAAGGCAACAGAAAACCTCCTGCCAGCTAGCTCCTGCCAGCTCAAGGCTGAGTACTCACTGACCTGACAATAACGGTACTTCAGAAGAGATGGGACTTTTGCATCACTTCCAAATAATGTAAGAAAAACAGCCCAAGTCCACGTGCCGTTAGGAAAAGGCTTCATATTGAGTACCTATGATCAAATACAAACCCATCTGTCCTACAGGTGACACACTGAAGCCACAATCAGACTTGAAACATCATAGGAATCTGTGCAGCCATACTGTTTCTGACCCACAGACCTTTTATTTGCAGGTGATACTCAAGAGTAAAGGAAGTTTTATGAAACAACAGTCACACACACTTGGACAAGATGAGTGAAGTTTACGTGAGGTTTCAGAGATTATTTTAAGCATAAGTCTAGAAAGTTCCTGTATGATAGCAATATACCCATACGTACCTTAACGAACCAGAAAAAACCTGCTATCCCTCTATTAAACAAACCATAATTGATTTTCAGGAGTCTCCTGGATCATAGTGCAACCACTTTAAAGAATGGCTTAAGAACAGCATACCATGGTGTAAAGACACAGAGAACAGGCAGCTGAAGCTAGAAGTGTCTTTAGGTAGAGATATTGGTATAGTTTTAAGGCCTATAATTTGAAAACAGAAGTTGTGAGTTTACAGCAGGCAGGAAGAGACAAGCAAGGTCCGAGTAGTAATTTGAAAACAGAAGTTGTGAATTTACAGGGGGCCAGCAGCAGGCAGGAAGAGACAAGCAAGGTCCGAGTAAGTACTAGATTACTAACATGTTACCGGATGGGCCCCGAGTGGACATTAGAGCGACCAGAGAGGCCAGAACACCAAAACAACCAAATCTTACGACTGAGAAAAGCCAATTTCAGACCAGTGCCCACCCCACTTCCCCATACCATGTTCCCACTGTAGGTAGGTTGATGGCAACCACCAGCTATAGCAGTGGCCAACTTGCGAGCCAGTGAAGACCCACGGAGAGGAGAGCCCCTGGGTGCATGGCTGTGGCAGCCAGTGTGACTGACAGCAAAGAAACACGTGCACCAAGTTGGCAGCAGCCCACGCTCTGGGAATAAGCACTTTAGGATGGAAAATGGTAAAGCTAGCAAGGACAAAAACTGAATCTAACTTTTTTAAACACAAAGAATAATAATTAAAAAATGCAGACCAAACCCTGTGGAAGGGCAGATAGCTGAAGCATTCAGAAAAGGATAAAGCTCCCAGGAAAAAGAACTAGGAAGAGGGATGCTGTTTAAACTTCACAAAATGGTGGATTGAAATATACTTCTACATTTAAAACAGTATAAGAAATCAAGCAAATACATAAATGCATTGATAAGACATAAAACCACCTTGTTTCCTAGTACACAGCTGTCAGCTCATGATATTTGCAGGCATTTATCATGTCTAAAGATTAGTAGGAAAAAATAGGCAAGTTGTCTAAATGAGTTCCACCTCCAATATTTTAAACTTGACTA